TACTTAGAATTCTTCCCTACACCTTTTTCCAATATAGCCTTTCAATTACAAAAATATAATATTCGTATAAATGTTTTAAAAATGCAATTCAAAACAATATTTAATGGAAATTCATATATTAAAACCAGCAAAAGGACAAAATGGATACTTTTACCCAGTAATTATTTTTTTTTTCAATTCTCACCTTTTCCTTTGCTTTGGCACCTGTTACCAGTGTGTTTCTGGTATTTGTTTCAAATGATGGAATTGGTACAATAACCTGTCAATAAAATAAACATACAAATTCAAAGTCATATTGTAGCTATTATGATTTTTCAATCCCATGCCTCCATTGGGATGCATATTTATTAAAATCATGTACCCTGAGGAAAATTGATAATTTATGCAGGACACTAGCCAAATAAATCACTGCTCATATTAGTGCTATAGATATGGAACAAGAAATTCTTCAAATGATTCACAAACTTCTTGAAACAAAATACACAAACAATTATTTTTCTACAAATCTCATACTCACTTCATCAATGTGTTCCTCTTCATGAAAGGACCGGGACAAAAACAGACAAGTCATTGTCGCTCCTTTCTTTGTGAAAAGAATGAGGTCGTTACCAATCCTCATGGAACCGCTGAAAGATAAATAAGGCTTTCATCAAATAAATGAGTAAAGTGTTCAAACCAGAAGTCTCTGTCGAGACTGAAGCTCTACTGGTTTGTACTTATAGCAAAGGAAAAGAAAAGTACTTAAGCAGTTGGAAATTGAAACTTTTCAACAGCAATAAATAGAATAATGATCCTTGATTAAGTCTCTTTATGTTCTTAGTGCAGTCTACTTGCATGCCACATTTATATTATAATCAGACTAAAATTGTATATGGAGTAGCATTTTGAAAGAATTTCACAGAAATTTCTATTTTTAGTAACCACCGCAATACCGTTCATCGAAATCAAAAACCGATACACAGAATTATGTATCTTATTGTAGTCTACTTGTGTGCCAAGTTATATTGAAATCAGACTAAAATTGTAGAAGAAGTAGCATTTTGAAAGAATTTCACAGAAATTTCTATTTTTAGTAACCACGGCAACACCGTTCATCGAAATCAAAAACTGATACACAGAATTATGTATCTTAGTGTAGTCTACTTGTGTGCCGAGTTATATTGAAATCAGACTAAAACTGTAGGAGGAGTAGCATTTTGAAAGAATTTCACAGAAATTTCTATTTTTAGTAACCACGGCAACACCGTTCATCGAAATCAAAAACCGATACACAGAATTATGTATCTTAGTGTAGTCTACTTGTGTGCCAAGTTATATTGAAATCAGACCAAAACTGTAGGAGGAGTAGCATTTTGAAAAATTGTTTACAGACAGACAGACGGACAGACAGACAGACAGACGGACGGACGACGGACGCATTACTATCGCATAAGCTCTTCTGGTCTCTGACCAGTAGAGCTAAAAACTTACAAATATAGGTGTTAGGGGTTTAAAGATATTCACTATCTTGATGCTTCACCTTCCAATAATCTTTCATAAAAGTAATTCCACCACTGTAAAACATGTTAACTACAAACATGCTTATGATTACAGTGAAGTGATAGTTAAAAATGCATTATACACTTACTGAATATAATAGATTATATTTCAAACAAATCAAAACTCATCCATAAGAGTTTATCCCAGGCACTTTGCTATGAGAATGATAAATACATTGTACATGCACAAATACGGATGCTTTACTATCCTACTTACGATTTCAGTCCATTTCCGTACATCCCAATGTGTGACTCATCCAAAGACCTCTTGGTAGATCTTCCAAATGTGATGATATCTGCTGTCTCATCTGTAAACATTTAAAAAGACAGTTATTGTAATTTTCTTTAAAAGACAAAATCCTTGGAATATAAAAACTCAAGTTGATAAATATGAAAACTTCCTGCATTTTTTGTATAATTTCCAAAAGAATTTGAAATAGCTGAGATCTACATGTAAGGTTGGAAAAGTTAGATTTCATACATTGCTAGGAAATTTATAATTGAGAAATGGGTTATACTGATATTTTCTTGAAATTACCCATTTTCAAAATATGTTAAAACCTGTATTCAATGTTTATTAAAGCTTACTTGGATCCATTCCTTCTCCATTATCCACAAAAAATAACATGTATCCTCCCCGCAGGCCTTCATCCGGTTCTGTAATTAAAAGTAGGTTTCTCTTTGAACTTTTTCCAATGCAAAATTCATTAACAAAAAAATTGAGAAAAGTAACATTTCTTCTTTCACTGGATTGAAAATTAGATAGCTTATCATATAATCAGTATTAATTCTACTAAAAGAATAAAACTTCTCATGGGAAGATATAAGTTTTCTCAAGGTTTTTTCTTTCATATATAAAATAAGATCCAGGCTTTTGATTCCATATCATTGATCATTGCCCTTGGTATATCATATCCAGGAACAATTACTTCTGCTCAGGTTTGTCTGGCAAATTAGTTTGATCATAGTTTGTAGATCTATACTAATTAGTTTGGCAGAGTGCTGCAAATAAAGTGCATACCTGAAAATATGTCCATTCTTGTTGCATTTGCATCTCTAAAAAAAAAAAGGGGGAAATTTTTTGTCAAGTAATCAAATCACTTCAACTTTAACACTATAAAATACAGATTGAATTTGATGATCATTTTAGCAAATGCATGCACTTACCTTGCATTATCAACCAATTCAGCAAGTGCACCAAATAAAAACTCATGAGTCGTTCTGAAATACAATGTTTCATATTAATATCAAGATAAAATTTCAGTCTTTGATTAGATATTGAAGACAGACATTCAGGGCAAAGCCCCCCCCCCCTCCCCCGGTTCCATCATACAAATGCTATAAATCCCATAAAAGTTAAATTTATATAGAAAAATGATATCAGAAAAAGGGGATCTATAGTGAGTCACATTTTCTCAGAGTTTGCTAAAGACTAGTCCCAATTTAATTGAAGGATAAGTTGGCAACTTTTATCATAGATTTAGAATTGTCACTTATATAATAACTAAAGGATTTCAAATGGCACGTTGTACGTGGTATGATATTATGATCTTTCATTTGCCATCCCATTAGGAAGAGGAAGGAATGCACACCTTAACACAAATTACTGGCAGAATTGTTCTAGGTGTACCCTTACTCCCTCCCCCAAAATTTATACATAGCTTTATTGTCTTCTTCATAATATCCTGGTGTATTGTATTTTCGACCTATTTAGATATTATTTATTAATTTACTGCAAACTTTATAGAATTTAAGAAAATATGGGCTAAAAATGTTAGCATATGTGTCTATAAATAAAATGATATAACCAATATTGCAGTTTTGTGTTTAATTTATTTATATGCCATAATATGGAGAGGGTGCAGTTTTCCTTACAAAAATATTAGCGTCTTGTGTTTTCGACCTAAATATAGTATTAACGCCCAATCAATAATGGCTATAAATATCCATTCGATATTCCAAACAAAAAAAATAATATTGTCTGTCTTTCAAAGAAATATTAAACAACTTGCATATTTTGTTTGCAAATACATTTATTCGTTGGTTGAAGCCATCTTTCTGTATCTGTGCATTTCCATAAAAAAATCAATGAAATTACGTTGCATTTTTCAGTGAAAATCTGTAAGAAAGTGCCCATATTTAAGGAAGAAAAAAATTTGTTTGATCCACCCATTCATTTCAATATTCATGCGTCTCTTTGACAGAGATCTTAATCTTCTTTCGGAAAAAATGTCATCAAAAAATCTTTGTAATTAATCGATTACGGCTTTGCTTAATCAACAGATAAAATGTACATTAGTAAAAAGACTAGAATTTCTGACAACGGACTAAAACCATCGGGGGAATTCCGTTGAATTATATTTTGGCTATTTTCACTACAGTTGTGCTTCAAAAGTATTTTTCCAAGTTTAACAACCGAAAAATAATGTTCTACCATGCGGTATCTGCACGGGAAGCAAATTGGCAAAAATAGGTCGAAAATACAATACGGTCGAAAATAGGATACGAGACGATATATCTATCAATACTTAAAATCACATTCAGCTGGAATCATGGTGTATGGCGACAATACTTTGCACTTATTATTTACGTTACCATGGATAAAGGGTCCATTACAACAAATAGCTAAAATGACATTTACATTATTCAGCATTGAGCTCTTTACATGAACATTGATTTACAAAACATGTTTCAGTATACATTATGGTGTCAATATTTACAGCGCTAACTATGTTATGACAATTCAACTTACGAATTTGTGTGCAAATATTCAAAACTTAATTGTGCACGGCTGAGTGCGTTATAGCTATTGCTAGTCATTTTCTTGGTCTTTTGGCAATATAATAACGCAGTATTCCTTTCTCAATAGTGCGCGAAAAATGACTTCATGGGATGCCGACCGTCCTCCTGTATTTCACGATGTCCATGCAAAGTCACCATCCTTATTACATGCAAGTTCACGCTTTAAGTTTTTGTAGGCATAGCTATGTGTAAGACTGTATAATTATCTATAGATTTCTTAGAAATATTTATATTTATCTTCAGATCCATACACAGCCTCATGTAGCCGAATCACAGCATTTCCTGTGTATACAACGATTCATCCACGTGTCAGCGATAGAGTAAATGTCATCATACAGTATCAACATGAAGAATATTAATTGAATTTTTAAAAATAAGACAACTTAATTCTGCAATATTGTAGTGATAATTTTTGTTTTATTAATTTTATCCCATCGCGCATGTATAAATAATTTGGAACTACTTTCAGATCTCATTTTGAATCAAAATTTAGGATTCAAAATTGACAAATCGAAAAAAAAAATTGTAAATTCGTGTATGAAACAGATATGAAAATGAATAGTATTTTTTTTTTTCAAATGTTAAATATTAAAAAATGATTGTGTAAATTTTATAATGAATGAATTATCATTTTTGTCAATTTTCTTTTTCCTACACTTTTGGTATGAATAAAATGGAAGACGAGTCCGATTCAGATAGTTCAGCCGATGAAATTGAAAATCAGCGACTGAAAGAGGCAGCTTTAAGTGCTGAAACAATCGTAAGAGAGACCAAAAGTTAGTTATCCTTATCAAAATATCCTATGTTATTATACATTATTAAAAGTAATTATAATTATGATTAGACTGACCCGAATTTCCTCTAAAGAAAAAAAACGTGTTTACACGAATTTTTCTGATATTCCAATAGAGACTTCATCTTCGCTGTAATAAGTCAAGGGTTTCTGATACGCTAATCTCCTGCATATGATTTTGTTCTTTAAGTTTAACAACTTGTTTGTATCCAGTGTATTATTTTTCATTTGATTGTAGTGCTAAAAAATCTTCATGATTGTGATACTTGATGATATATTTTTGGAAGTTGGGTCAGCCCACTAATCAGAATGTTGATTGCGTAAATTAAATACTAATATTTTTAAAATGCAAATTTATTTAGATACATTTTTCAGGAAAAGAAACAAGGAACCAGGAAAATGGATTGCTACCATCCCAAAGGTATAACATTATTGATTTTTATACCATGTAAGGTTAGGTACATTTGACCACAATATGGAATCAAAATTATTCATCAGAATAAAGAAAATCTTCCTTCTAATAACAGCAGGGCCGGTGTGACTCAGGTGAGCATTGTGGCCTTTGAACCTCTACTCTGCTTCTAGTTTCTATATTTCATCTTTTTAGATTTTGAAATTTTAAAGTATGTGCTGTTATACAGTTAATTTTATATTTTAGATCTTCATCTCCAGTGCCTGACCATAATCCACTGAATACAACACCAGAATTTAGAACTTTTGTAGCCAAAAAGTTGTCTGAACTTTTAGATAGGTAAAGTCTGTGAATCTTGCTCAGAGGATGGATCAGCTAGGCATTCTTGTAATTTTAACAAAATTTCAATGAGTGAACATAAAAAGATTGTTCTCTATAGAGTAATTATGCATTAATTTCCATAGAAGGAATGGTTATTGGAAATCTTAAGTTTCTAAAATTTACTAGATGGAATGATTTAGCAGTTTTTCTTACACTGCACCTTAACCTTTATCAGTTCATTTACCATCGGATATTTCTATGATTGAAAGAATTTTTCGTAAATTATATCATTTTTGTAGAAGTCTCAAAGATAAAGATGAAGAAATAAAGAAAAATGACAAGACGGAACAGGATACAGGTAAAAAAATCTTTTAAGGATACACCAAAGGCTTTTTTCAATAATTTTGTCAATTTTGAGATTTTTGGCTTAGAAAAGGATGCTAATCACTGCTTTATAATGCATGAAAAATTATTGCTGATTATTAAATGGTTTTCTAATTATTTAACAGTAATCAAACATAAATACTACCACATGTGAATGTGTCGTTATTGGAGCTTCTGATTCGATCTGTGACTGTCTGCTCCTGAATGGAGCAATAAATCACTGTGACCACTTGGGGAATTCTTCACTAGCCACACAGAGGTTAACAGTAATTAAACTACAGGGAACCCATCTTTAGGGAAGGAGATGTAACAGGTCACTAATGACCATGAAATTGGAGGTGGAGCTTAGCTCTTGCCATTTTGCCTGGAAATCTTTCTGATTCAGAATTGAACCTATTTTACTTAATTAAAACACTTAAATATAGAAAAGAACCTCCCATTCTTGTGAATATGCATAGAAAATATAGATGAGTGACAGGTATCCAAAGCTGAATCTCCAAGGTGTCATATATTTCTAGCTTTGGCAGAATTTGTTGTGTAATGGGTTTTTGCTCTCTACTGTAAAATAAGATCAGACAGTTGGTGGTATTATTTCAAAGGATTCAGCTCCCTTATTTATTGACCAATTTCTCTGAAAACTGGCTAGATTGTGTCTCAAATGTGTGTTCCCAAAACCTTATCTCAGATTTTTTATATCTTGCTTAGTTCTTGAATTATTGGGGGAAATGTAGAATTGGGCTAATATATTGGTAACATTGAGGGACAAATGGATGTAACTTTTGAACTAAAAGATTTATCAAAAATCTGAGATACGGTTTTTAAGTTCAATCTTTAATCTACCTTGAGGGAAAATTATGACTTTGAGAGGTGGAATACAAAAAGTTGATTTATAAAATACAAATGCACTTACATTTACATTAAAATATGAATTATTTTTTAAGAAGAATAAAATGAAAGTTTAGATTAGGATCATTAAATAGTAAATTTAACAAGCTTTAAAATGATATATACTTTTAATATGCTATCTTTGATAATGAAAGAATTACAAGCAAATTAAATTCTGCCATTTGGAAACCTTTGGTGTATCCTTAAACTGTATTTTCCACCATTGTTTGAGAATGGGCCAGATCCCTTCAACTGAAGGAAAGAGAAGAAAAAAGTCTTACAGTTAAATGTATTTTCCTAATTTTTTTTAGTAAGGGAAGTGGTAGGCCCTAATATTCAATCCTATCTATAAAATCTAGTAAAACTGTATTTTGCAATTGCTTCCTTGTTGTAGGTATCAAGCTCTTCTCGGCATCCACCACGTTGATAAGACAGGTTAATGAGGAGACACCTGTTCCTATAACCTCCTCTGCCAAACAAAGGCCACCCATTGTCAAAAAAAGGAAACTTGACAGCAGCAGTGATAGGTAGAATTTAATAACACATTATAGCATTTTATTACACACTTAGTAATAAATACAGGATTTTTGCATATGCGATATGGCTGACGTCACAATAGCCGTATCATCCCTGCAGGGCTGATATGGATTTGCGGGGCTGATAACCTATATCAGCCCCGCAAATCCATATCAGCCCTGCAGGGATGACACGGCTATTGTGACGTCAAAATCACACCCTCAGTAAATTAAACCACAAAAACAGTACTTGTGATCATACACAATTTTTGGTGGGTTCATATTCTCTTAATTTTAACTTTATGAAAATAAGGTTAATCTTAATTTACAAATACATGTGATAGATTATTTTCAAATTACGGATCGAGTGCATTGGAATAAAAGTAGAAACAAACCCAAATCGTATGAGCGATAGACTATATACATGTATGTAAGAAGTCCATGCATAATTATTTACTTATTTTCTTCTCAACTTAATGTATGCTGTATTTTATTACTAAGTATGTAATAAACATATTAATACATACCCTTTTCCATATCACATCCTGTATCAGCCCTCGGCCAATATCAGCCCTCTGGCCTTCGGCCCTCTGGCTGATATTGGTGTCTCAGGCTGATACAGGATGTGATATGGAAAAGGGTATGTATTATTCTCTATATACTCTTTACAGTTGAACTTGGATATTTCAAACACTGATATCTTGCATAGCATGAATATATGTCAAAGTGAATTTGAAGTCCCAACCACTTATACTTGTAGTATTTTGCTCTTGCTATCTCATAGCCTCACATATAATTTTTTCTCAGTCCCAAAGAGATCAAATTAACAAAGTTTGACTGTACTTTTCTTCCATCACCTTAGCAGATAAATGAAATAGGATCTCTAGCAAAGGTAGCAGGGTAGACACTTAGAGATCACTCTGGTATACACAGTCAAACCTCATTATCTTAAACTCAGTGAGACCAAGAAAAACACTGAGATATCAGACAGGATTTCATATACTGTAAACCAACTTTTATTTGTGACTTCATTTCACAATTTACTGGGGGTAAATTAGTTTGTGATGATTAATATGTGTTATCAAGCCTTTTTTTAATCTGTTATAAATAGATACAGAGAATTTAAGGACTGGTTCGCAGGGAGAAATATTCTCGATGACAAGGCTCTCGTGAACCTTGCAAAAATTTCTTTGGCACAAATAAAAGTTGGTTTACAGTATTCAAGTTACAGATGAATTTCATATATTGAAGTTGCAGACAGGATTTCTTATATTGAAATACATGTACATACAGTAATTTGAAGTAAAACAAAATAGATTAGACCTTAACCTTCCTTCGACATGTCCATCATATTCAATATATCTGTGTTTGAGATAATGAAGTCATGTCCATGTAATCCCTTAATTCATTCAATTCCATATGGGATTTGAGAACATTCAACATTGTTCCAAGTTGCTCAGGGACAAAGCACATAAAGCCCAAGTCTAATGTTATATCATTTATCTGTCTATCTATTTATAGAGTTGACACTTGATAAAATTCTTATGAATTTCAAAGTAAATGTTACTTTTACCATTTTATTCTTACATTTTAGTTCAGACGAAGAGAGCAAATTAGCAGATGCTGCCATATCTGTTGATCAGATAATGAAGGAAAGTCAATCTCCTTACATTAAGACTCATAATAAAAAAGAAAAGACAATACTCATAGTGAAAGAAGAAAAACCAGCAAAGAAAAAGAAGAAAAAACACAAAAAGAAAAAAGACGAAATAAAAGTTTCATGAAATATCAATTTTTTTTTTTTATGTGTTTTGTTGGGTTTTCTTGAAAGAAATATGCATGGAAATATGTCAATCAATAATCATGAGGATAAAACATGCAATCTAAATGGGAAAAACAGTGTACCATATGATTGGTATTTCCATATTACCACAAATTAGACTTGTTGAGAATCATGGTTCTGATTATACAATAATTAAGTTTACTAATTTACATATACTGTACATGTACTGTACTTTAAAGCTACATGTCCATTGAAGAGCTTAGCTTTTTGAACTTTTGCTTAAATGATCATTAGACATTCATTCAGATCTAAAGTATTTCTTCCCAAATTGGTTTCTAAAGATTATAATTAGATGAAATGAAAGAGTACAAAACATAAGTACCTGGGTAGCTCAGAATCTGAAAAATATACTGTTTACAGGGTTATTTTCTCCCCATGTTATTTCGCCCTTTTACAATTGAAAACAATTTTGCTAATTTTTTTTATATTCGCTAAGACACAATTCTGTTTAAGAAATTATACTGTGTTCTTTGAATTCGTCCTGTTTAAAATTCTCGCAATTGAGATCGGGGGTGGGAGGGATTTCCCTGTGTACAGTAATGTGGCATGCAGGAAAATTTGATTGCCACATAGCTTGGTTGAGCACCTGACTTGTGATTCAGGGGGCCTGGGTTCAAATCCTGGATCTGGTCTGTCACACTGTCACATTTTTCCCCCTCGCTGTGTACATTTGATGCCTTGCCATGCCCTTGGAAACACACATTAAGAGATCTGCCAGGGAAGAGCCTGGGTTGGTGTCTTTGGGAACAAAAACCTTTAAGGTTATATAAATTATACCTCAACAGGTTAAAGTAAAACAAAGAAATTTGTGTTTTGTGAGGCTTTATTTTACCTGTAGAAGAATTAACTGTAGCAACAATAGAGAGAGGTCAATCTCTTTAACAGTATATATACAAATACAGTAACATAAGAACATTTAGAACAGTAACAGGTGGTTAACATCTAATCAATAATCAATGTACTTCAATCAAAATAAAGCAAAACTTTAACAGCAGAGAGATTGGTACGGTTCAGTGGAATGTATTGCTGCATATTGGTATACATGTATTTATCATAATATGCATCTTCATATATCATATTAAATTGGCAAAAAAGTTGGAAATCCCTTTTGAAATCTGGCAGGCAAGAACACATTTTTTCAAATGACAAGTTGATGTACATGCACATGACTAGGGTATTCCATTTTAAAAAATTGTAAATAATTTGATGAAGGATTTGTTCTGTATATATGATTGGGAATATGTAACCAGCTAACCAATTACAAATGGTAACCAGTTAGAAAATCTATACTTGGTTAGCTGAAAAAAATTAGATACTTAGATTTGAACACAATTTTCTAAAAATTTATTTATAAAATTAGAAACGTCTGCATTAAAGTTGGAATTTTTTCACAAATCTGATTTAGAAGTAATTACCGGTATGCATCTCCCATGGTTGAAACTGCTAGTGAGCCAATTGGTCAGGTTGTGAAGTACTGTATGTGTTACCGGGGAAATTATGGTTTTTAAAAAGTGTTAATTGCTTTTTTTAATGATACAACATTACTGTGGAGTAATATGAATATATTTGCTGCCGTCAGCTTTTTTAAAATCATTTTTCATGGTTTTCTCATTTTCCCCTTGTTTATTGAAAAAAAAAAACAATATATGTACATGTAGTTTCCTTACCAAGATAAACAGATTATTTCTAACTTCTAATGTTTCATTTTGAAAGTCTTCTTGTGTACATGAATAGAGCAACTTGCAGAGAGAAAATATTTCATACGATTGGTTAATTTGTCAGAACAACTTGTGATCAAGAATTCCGTATTTGATTGCCTTCCCTAACATATGACAATAAATCTGGAATGCTTTATACATGTAATTTTGTGTGTTTTTTGTCCAATCGCTGAAAGCAAAATTCAATTTTAAAATAATTTAAATGAACGGGCATACAGATTCATTAATAACAAGCTAATAGACATTATTAAATGTATACATGTATACTGAAGCATTAAAATACATGTATGTCAATATGCATATAAAAATTTGATTGCTTATTCTTTATTATGTGTATAGAAGATTTTTTTATATGGAATGTTTATCACACTGTAATGATGATTTTATAACCTCAGAATTTTTCATTTCACATGCTGAATACTATCATTTAGTTAAAAAAAAGTATTTAAAAAAAAAAACAAAAAAAGAAAGGATCGATTAACCTCTCACATTTGTCGAGAGACATAACCACTAGACCACGGAATTCTACGCGATGTGAAGTATATGCAGAATTGAAGTCACATACATGTATATATTCATGTTTTTATGTTCGGTATTCTCAAAATTTTACACAATCCATGGTGTTTGATTTATTTAGCCTTTATTAAACAGTTCTAATAGATGTAATAAGAACATAATGTCCGCCGAGAACCTGTTTTATACGCAATAACTCTCCTCATGCCCCTGCGCTAAAAATAGCGACATGTAATACTATAAATACTAATAAAACAAACGGGTCGGGGCACTTTGAGAGGGGCGAGAGACGTCCTAGGAGTTTCGATATAAAATTACATTGCTTAAGCTCAAAATCTTCTTGAAATATCGCCCGGAAATGATAGTTTTACATACATGTAATTTTGTGTGTTTTGACCTCAAAATCAATAGGGGTCTTCATTAGGCCACAGGGTGTTGTTATATAAAATTTCATTGCAATAGCTCAAATGGTTCTCGAGATATCGTGTGGAAACGAAAGTGTTTTAACAGACAGAATTTGCTTATTTATGACCTTGACCTTTGACCTTTTGACCTCAAAATCAATAGGGGTCTTCTTTAGTCCATAGGGAGTTGCTATGCTAAATTTCATTGCAAAAGCTCAAAGGGTTCTCGAAATAATGTGGAAATAAAAGCGTTACAGACAGACAGAAAGACGGACGGACGGACAGACGGACGGACAGACGGACGGACGGACGGACAAACCCAAATTAATATCCCCCACTTTTCAAGCGGGGGACAATAAATAATGAAATACAATTAATGATATAATAAATGGGAAAACCTGATAAATCATTTTTAGAAAGTAAACCATGATACAGTATATTCATCAAGTTAAATTAATCTTTTACTTGAAGCATTACATGAAAGAAGACTGTTTATCAAAGTAAATAATTTGAAAAAATCATGTACATTCTGTAATAATTAACAGACATTCTTCACAAAGTTTCATCAAAACAAAAACAAAAAAAATCCCATCATCATAAAACTTGAGATCTGAACAAGTTTGCCACCTGTTACATCCAAGCACAAAATCGTGTACATATAACATTAACAAACGGAAAATGCATTAAATATTGCATTTCATAAAATAACCCAATTGAATATGTAGGGCTGGATCAACATTAAGTTAGAATGAAAAAAAAAATCTTATATATACAATTGTTGCAATGTACACTTTTCCTTGAACCATCATATGTCACCAGTTATCTTTAATTTACTCAACTTCCCCAAACAAGAGCATTTCATACACACCAGGTACATAATAGTTTTGTTATTGTACAAAAATAAATCTTTGACTATAAATAAGGAAGATGCACATGTAAAAGGGAAAATAAAAATGCTTGACAAACTAAAACAGAATGTAACTGAAATTTCAAAAACTCCCTTCATAGGAAAACATATCCCACTTTCCTGTATATAATCAGTTGAACATGAAAACAGCTGATGAATATTGCCCCCCCCTTCCTACTCCCCTCTCAGAGGGTTAATAATTGCTATGACTTCTAAACTTAATCTTAAATCAATAAGACATACAATTATAAATGAAAATAAACAAGAATTGGGGAACTTTACCTTTCTCTATCAAATGTAATATTTTTTATATTAATAATATTTATCACATTTTGAGCTAATAAATTTGGTCCCAATATGCAAGTACATGTATTTATAAATAAACAATAAGTGAAATATTTGTTGTATTATGCTTCATACACATATAATATGCTTTACCTATCTCCATGTCAACAGTTTTGTCTTTTGGCAAAACTAACCAATGACTAACCAATTTTTCTATATTTTTCCCCTAAATTTGACTGTATGATAAACTTCTTTACTGTACAATATCAGGGCATAAGTATGTGTATTAAGTGAATACATATTTGACATATATATATGGTATCTTATCTAAATTGAATTGAAATTTCAAAGATTTCACAACATCACAAAATGCTAAAGTCTTAGCTTATCTACTGGTAATGGCAAGATGCAAAAGTTGGAATTCCAATACAGCAATAGTTTACAGAGAGAAAATATTTGATTTGCCTTGCAGTATTTCAGCTTGAAAGTAAATCAATCACCCTTTTGCACTTTACAGATTATAACAGCAAGTGCATGAGATCAAATATATGTGATCACAATATCCAGGCCCATAAATAGTACCATGTGTACTACCAGTTTACCAGAGTGAGAGATTCTAGCAGTGGCCTTTTATCACATGGGAGCATCACAATATCGGCCTTAACCATCACAGTGTAGGATAAACATGAATTTATGGCACAACATTTGGTGTCCAGTGAGCAACAAAGTACAAGTCGTGTACACACAATGTCTTTTACATGATGAAGATGTTCATGGAATATTGCACTAAATCTGAACCTTTTTTGTGTCGTATTTACACTTTGGTTGGTACCTGGAAAAAAAATCATTGATTTAAGCATGTTTTCTTGTATTCTTTATGCAGCTGATTTAGGTAATTGCAATGGTATTAAAATTACCCCCCCCCCCCCAAATCTATATGCCAGTAGTCTACCTCAGTACAGGTATTTTTTCAGCATTCATTTCCAATTGTTAACATTAGAGAGAAAAATAAACAGTTGGAAAATCATACTCATTTTGAGGTGGGGGGGGGGGTCCCTCAACAATGGGCCACGATGCTAACCCGAGTCAAGTTAGATCTATTGCTTCAGAAAGTTTTTAAAAAGATGAAAATATTTCCCTCTATTGTCCAGTAAGAATTTTTGCACTACCTGAAGATGCTTTTAACATTACTGTGATTAAATCATGCACATATTGTTTTTTTGAAAAGTTTTCAAAGATTGTTTATCATATAGTCTTATGTAAAACTTCCCTATCATGGCCCAACCCTACCCATGGTGTTTACGATTTGGACAATTTAGACTATCTTCAGAAGATTCATCATTGGTCCAGTGTTTCTTGAAAAAAAAATTTCTTGTACATTGTCAGTGTAGAACCTATTGAAACCCTATTGGTCATGATCTGTACAATTTAGAATCTACATTTCCCATGGAAGCTTGTACATAATTTTCACCTTTTCTGGCCATGTGGTTCTTGAAGAGAAGATTTTTCTTCTTTTTTTTTGTAATGTAAAACTTTCAGCCCCATCTTATCCCCAGAGGTCATGGTTTTTAACAATTTAGACTTTAAAACTTCCCTAGGATGCTTCCACATAACCTTCGCTTTTTCTACTTCAGTGTTTCTTGAGAAATTTTTTTTATTTCATTAACAAATTTTTGCCTTTTCTTGATTATCATCCCTTGGAAGAGGACTTGGATCTTTATTTGAAAAAAAAAAAAAAAATCTCCTTTACCCAAAGATGCTTTGTGCCAGTTTTAGTCAAAATTGACCTTGAAGTTCTTGAGAAGAAAATGAAAATGTGAAAAGTATACAGACGAACGGGTAGAGGAACACCAGAAAAGCCCACTTGAGTTTTCAGCTCAGGCGAACTTACCGTAATTTTCAGATAATAGGTCGATACTTTTTTTCTCAGAACCGCTGGGGTCGCCCAATATACGAATTCAACCTTTCTAAGGCTCAAGTTTACGAAAAATTCCCAAAATCAATAAAATTTACGTCAATTTCAAAGCAAATCTGTGCCACTTTCATACCTTTTTTCATTATTTTACGCAGAAAAATTAATGCCCAGATAAACAATAAAATGTTTATTCTATAGCTTTCTTACAAAATAAATTCCATTAATTATCCGTTGATGACAAAGGAAAACAACATTGCTTCTATTAAATAATTCCTCAACGTATTATCCATTAACATCATGCGGTATCCATCTTGTGAAGTTAGGAAGTCGCTATCGTTTACTAAAAGTAAAACCACAACCGTATCAAAATTTAAAATACGGAAAAATTTTCAAGGTCACAACTGTAGTGTTTTTACCATTTATTAGTAGCGATAAATTGACATAGTATATTAAATATTTTTTATTGTCTTAAGCAAAGAATTAGCAATAAATACGGGTGACAGAAATATAATTTACATTGAATTACCGGCATACAAAGATTGGCTTCTAACAGAATTTTAATTGTCTGAAAGATGGGAGGTCAACATTACCGCTACATCGCCAAAAATTTCAACTCATTACCGCTACATTTTGTCAGATTTTCGACCGATCATTACCGCTACATTTTTCCTGCAAAAAACAACTCATTACCGCTACATACTGAATCAGCCAAAAACAACTCATTACCGCTTCATATCGATTTAGCCTGGTATGGTTCGGTATACGAGTTCTAATCAACAGAATTCACTCACTATCTAATCATCATTAATTATAGTAATCATAATTTATAGTTCATATCCGAGCATTTTTGATTTTTGGCCAAGATCCAGTCTGTCCAGACAAAAAGTTACTTGAAGATGCGTGCTGCAAGAAACAGGATTCTCCCAGGACGAAAGGGGAATAACAACACAGCACAAAAAAGGGAACTGAAAGCTAAATACGACAGTGAGGAAATGACAATGCAACAAGATGTCAAGAAAATGGCTTTCAAGGCTTTACCGATAGTGTAAAAAAACATTTGACAAAACTTAGAATTTTATCTATGAAAAGTGCTTGATTTTAATTTTTTGTGTTTTATGAAATAAAATTGATTTTAATAGAAAACAAGAGGCCCATGGGCCACATCGCTCACCTGAGAAGCTTTGACCATTCTGTTCTTTACCAGATTTCACCCTTGTTATACATAATGCATCCCCACCCTACCCCACTGATCATAATTTAGACATTTTGAAATCTACACACCCACATGATCCTTCCATGGGCACATATGTTTCAGCTTTTTGGCCCAGTGGTTCCCGAGAAGAAGATTTTCAAAGATTTTTCCTATATATTTCTATGTAAAACTTAGATTCCCTATAATGGCCCCGCCCTTCCCCCGGGGGTCATGATTCCTACAATTTAGAATTTACACTACCCCAGAATGCTTCCACATAAGCTTCACTTTTTCTGGCCCAGTGGTTCTTAAGAAGAAAAATTTCAAAGATTTTTCCTATATATTTCTATATAAAACTTTGATTCCCCATTGTGGCACCACCCATCCCCCGGGGGTCATTAATTGAACAATTTAGAATCTACATTATACCAGGATGCTTCCACATAAGTTTCAGCTTTTCTGGCCCAGTGGTTCTTGAGAAGAAGATTTTCAAAGATTTTTCCTATATAGTTCTATGTAAAAATTTGATACCCCATTGTGGCCCCGCCCTTTCCCTGGGGGTCATGATTTGAACAATTTAGAATCTACACTATACCAGGATGCTTCCACATAAGTTTCAGCTTTTCTGGCCCAGTGGTTCTTGAGAAGAAGATTTTCAAAGATTTTTCCTATATATTTCTTTATAAAACTTTGATTCGCCATTGTGGCTCCACCCATCCCCCGGGGGTCATGATTTGAACAATTTAGAATCTACATTATACCAGGATGCTTCCACATAAGTTTCAGCTTTTCTGGCCCAGTGGTTCTTGAGAAGAAGATTTTCAAAGATTTTTCCTATATATTTCTATGTAAAACTTTGATTCCCTATAATGGCCCCGCCCTTCCCCCGGGGGTCATGATTCCTACAATTTAGAATTTACACTACCCCAGGATGCTTCCACATAAGCTTCACTTTTTCTGGCCCAGTGGTTCTTAAGAAGAAAAATTTCAAAGATTTTTCCTTTATATTTCTATATAAAACTTTGATTCCCCATTGTGGCTCCACCCATTCCCCGGGGGTCATTAATTGAACAATTTAGAATCTACATTATACCAGGATGCTTCCACATAAGTTTCAGCTTTTCTGGCCCAGTGGTTCTTGAGAAGAAGATTTTCAAAGATTTTTCCTATATAGTTCTATGTAAAAATTTGATACCCCATTGTGGCCCCGCCCTTTCCCTGGGGGTCATGATTTGAACAATTTAGAATCTACACTATACCAGGATGCTTCCACATAAGTTTCAGCTTTTCTGGCCCAGTGGTTCTTGAGAAGAAGATTTTCAAAGATTTTTCCTTCATATTTCTTTATAAAACTTTGATTCACCATTGTGGCTCCACCCATCCCCCGGGGGTCATGATTTGAACAATTTAGAATCTACATTATACCAGGATGCTTCCACATAAGTTTCAGCTTTTCTGGCCCAGTGGTTCTTGAGAAGAAGATTTTCAAAGATTTTTCCTATATATTTCTATGTAAAACTGTGATTCCCCATTGTGGCCCCGCCCTTCCCCCGGGGGTCATGATTTGAACAATTTAGAATCTACACTATACCAGGATGCTTCCGTATAAGTTTCAGCTTTTCTGGCCCAGTGGTTCTTGAGAAGAAGATTTTCAAAGATTTTTCCTATATATTTCTATGTAAAACTTTGATTCCCCATTGTGGCCCTGCCCTTCCCCTGGGGTTCATGATTTGAACAATTTAGCATCTACACTACCCCAGGATGCTTCCACATAAGTTTCAGCTTTACTGGCCCAGTGGTTCTTGAGAAGAAGATTTTTTAATGACCCCACCCTATTTTTGTCTTTTCTTGTATATCTCCCCTTGCGAGGGGATATGTCCCTTCATTTTAACAATTTAAATTCCCCTTTACCCAAGGATGCTTTGTACCAAGTTTGGTCAAAATTGGCCCAGTGGTTCTTGAGAAGAAGTCGAAAATGTGAAAAGTTTACAGACGGACAGACAGACAGACGGACAGACGGACAGACGGATGGACGGACGGACGACGGACAAAATGTGATCAGAAAAGCTCACTTGAGCCTTCGGCTCAGGTGAGCTAAAAAACATCCTGCTCGAAGTCCTACTTTCACCTCTCCGTGGTGAGCAGGGGAAACAGGTCTTATGCATTTATAGGTTGTACTGTACACACATATGTGGCTGGCGAACGAAAGAGGCAATGTAGCGGTAATGTATACTTTTTTATGTAGCGGTAACGTAAGGTTTTTTGTAGCGGTAATGACTATGTAGCGGTAATGAAAATTTTGAAAATGTAGCGGTAATGATACGCACCCTGAAAGATAAAGGAATTTACACTGTGTACACAAAGGTGTAACACCTGTGTTCAGTTGATTTAAATGCCTGCGGGGCATGATTATAACAAACCCACGTGCCGTTATAGGGTATTAGTGTTACACATCATTGCACAAACAAAGCCGTGAAATTCATGTTGAGAGTCAAATTGTGAATGTACTCTCAATTAAATTCATAAATTAAACTTACTAGAGTGTTAATATGATTTCAATTCTTTACTGTTGCTTGATATATACATTCAATGGTCATTTGCGTGTTTTAGCGAATCCCTGGAGAAGAAAAATAAAAATGGCGGACATCGAAGTAATTGTCGTCCACCGGTAAATAATGTCTGAATAAAGTTAACAGGAATGTGTCCAAGTTGTTCTGAAATCGGAATTACTATTCTTTGGTCTCGGGTATTTCCCGAATATTATAGCTGTAAAATAATAATGTATTTACGTGTTATTTATGCCTTTGATTTAACAACGGTGTGAAACTACGGAGGCATTGAACAGGCAAGTTGGAAAAAAATAAGTAGTAACACAATTCAAAGAAGTTTTAACTACTTTAAAAAAAAAACTTTATTTAAATTCTGTACTCATTAAAATACCTGTTTAATTTCTTGATACGTTTATGTCACGGAATAACCCCGGAAATTCTAGGGGTTTACCTGTTCTGATACGTTGTATCTGCGTAAGCATCTTTAGAAAACGGGAAGCAAAACCTCGTCCTATATAGTAAGTTCGTCCTATCTTAGGATTTTTCAAAAATTAAGGCTGAAAGTGAGCCTTTCGACCTATATACCCCATCGACCTATAACCCAAAAATTACGGTATAATAAATATTGTGGAGTGACAATTTCTGAATAACATTAAACAATAGCTACCTCTGAGTATGAGCCAGACTTGCTTTTGTGGGTGGCTGGATGACCTTTGATGAGGGCGTAACAGATAACGGTCACAAACATGACGAACAGGAAGTAGGTGGTGTGCATCAAGTGAAGGTTGATAACTGATCTGTCCTCCTGTAAAATCATCAACAAATATGTTAATGTGGAATGTTCACAAATACAACACTCCATACCTTCTAAATTCAAGGTTTACTACTAATATATGTAGATAGTACACATGAGTGGTGGACTCTATTTATTGATTGATTTTTTTTTCATATGAATCTCTTTTCAAACACTGTAGATCATCAAAAATTTGTGACACCTAATTTTCGCAAGACAATTAATTGATATTTACAATTAGGCCAACTTTTTTCTTTAAATTGTGGTTATTTTTGTGTAGAATCATTGAAAATCCAAAATATCAGAGACTCAAATTATTTACTCTCAGAGAATGAAATTTTTGTGAGCATTCACTCTTAAGTGACTATCAAGATTATGTACAAATAAAGTTTACAATACACCTGTAAACATTTCTTTCTTTTAGAACAAACATACTTGACCCCTTTTTTATTTTTTCTTACCAAAGTTAACAACATATTCATGGTGGGATCTAACTTGTACTTCATTGTGACTCGAGGTAGATGGGCACACAGATTTTCTGCGGTGTAGCTTCTGGGATACCCGACCATTCTAGAACTGTAGTCACCCACTCCCTCAGTGACACTCACAGTGCTTCTACAGCCTCCAAAATGTCTGAAAATTGGGTCATCAAAAATAAATTTAAATTATTGATTGATCAAATTCTCAATCTCTCCCTTAGGGGATGACCATTTGATTTTAAAGATGGGCCTGACAGATTTTGGAAATAAATAATCTGTCTTCCAAAATGTTGAAAATTTAGAATTTTGGACTTTGTTTTTTTTTTATTGGCTTGTCAAGAATCAAATGGTCACCCCTATAGGTTTCACCTTCAATTTCCAGTTTTACCATTTTGTTAATTTGTTTCCACATAAAATTTTATATCAAACATGTGACAAATCAATAACTATTTTAATTCATTATTTATAATAAAGGATACAGACTGAGAATATGAAAATTGCGAAAGCATTTCATACTCAAATGTTATGTACATACACTCGTGTGAAACTGATCCACTTATACATAATTAATACTCATTTATGAATTTTTAATGAATTAAATTTGTAATGCCATGAAGTTTTCAACAAGATTTCCATCAAATGACATTTTCTGAAAGGGTTTGTTTTCAACTTGGTGAATGCATTAAAGCTAGTACACTTTTGAATTAACTAAATTGATTGCCAAATGTTTTACCGTTGGCTTGGAAAAAAGGAAGCTGGTCCCTGAAAATTTATGCAGGTCAGAATTTTAATTTTCTGGCAGTTTTTATCTGTACAAACTGCTTCATTCCATTTGATAGGCAGCATCATGGACACATTCATACTCATTTTAGAGGCTAAACCTGAAAATTATCATTGAATGTGCATTAAAAAATTTAAAAAGAAGTTTGAGAGAGCAGAGAGACACATCTAAATCTGAATTATTTTTCAATATCTGCAAGAATAGCAAAACCAAGGTTCTAAAATTGGGAATTGATATAACTGCATCATGTGCATACTCTCTCAATTCTGACAATGATACAGAACGAAAAATGCTAAACAAAAATATTTGACAGAATACTATATTTTAATTAATGTATTTTTAAAATAGATTAGCAGAAGAAATATTTTAATCAATTCACCTATTTACACCGGTGTCATATAATATATTGAACCCCGCGATATTTTGAACCCGGGTTCAAAATATCGCTGCGAAATATTGAACCCCCCTATAAAATATTGAACCCGGGGTTCAAAATATTATGGCCATAAAATATCGAGTCCCCCTGTCCTTTAAATTTAAGAGGGTGGGGGGTTCAAAATATTATGGCCATAAAATATTGAACCCACCTGTCCTTTTAATTTATGAGGGAGGGGGTTCAAAATATTATGGCCATAAAATATCGAGTTTTGCCCTTTAAATTTAAGAGGGATGGGGGGGGGGTCAAAATATAATGGCCATAAATATTGAACCCCTTTGTCCTTTAAAATTAAGAGGGAGGGGGTTCAAAATATTATGGCCATAAAATATCAAGTCCCCTACCAATTTAATTTTACAGGGAGGGGGGTTCAAAATATTATGGCCATAAAATATTGAGTCCCCCTGCCCTTTTAATTTATGAGGGAGGGGGGTTCAAAATATTATGGCCATAATATATCGAGTCCCCTGCCCTTTTAATTTTACAGGGAGGGGGGTTCAAAATATTATGGCCATAAAATATTGAACCCACCTGTCCTTTTAATTTATGAGGGAGGGGGTTCAAAATATTATGGCCATAATATTTTGAACCCCCCTCCCTGTAAAATTAAACGGGCAGGGGGACTCAGTATATTATGGCCATAATATTTTGAAACCCCTCCCTCATAGATTAAATGGACAGGGGGACTCAATATTTTATGGCCATAATATTTTGAACCCCCCTCCCTGTAAAATTAAATTGGTAGGGGACTTGATATTTTATGGCCATAATATTTTGAACCCCCTCCCTCTTAATTTTAAAGGACAAAGGGGTTCAATATTTATGGCCATTATATTTTGACCCCCCCCCCCATCCCTCTTAAATTTAAAGGGCAGGGGGACTCGATATTTTATGGCCATAATATTTTGAACCCCCTCCCTCATAAATTAAAAGGACAGGTGGGTTCAATATTTTATGGCCATAATATTTTGAACCCCCCACCCTCTTAAATTTAAAGGACAGGGGGACGCGATATTTTATGGCCATAATATTTTGAACCCCGGGTTCAATATTTTATAGGGGGGTTCAATATTTCGCAGCTATATTTTGAACCCGGGTTCAAAATATCGCGGGGTTCAATATATTATATGACACCGGGTTCAAAATATTATGTGATATTTTGAACCCGGGTTCAATATATCGCGGTATCAAAATATTATGCTACACCGGTAATGCAACATTAGTGTAGTCTCTGATTATCACAAGGTGTCCATGCAATACGATTTTGCTAGAATTATTACAAAACTGAAAAGTCAGACTATATCTGATATTTCAGAGCAATCTGTCTTTACCTCTTAGTCCGAGTTCACTGCCATTGACTGCTGCCAGTAGAGTGGTGACATTGTTAGATATGTTGAAGAAACTATCACTCTGAGAGGGGGTGACCTCAATTAGCATGGATATTGATGTATTTCTATTCATTCATAGCAGAAAAATATTACACAAAAGACACATATTTTAAATACATATTAAGACGTTCACTTCAATTCAAAACTTATAATATTTAAAATAAACTACCCATAGTCTATACCATTTTCAAGTGAAATTCAAAGCTTAAGAACACTTATACCTGAAATCTTAATATAATTTTTTTTCTAATCCTTCTTTTCTTTGTATTAACATTCCAGTGCATATACTGTATAGAAAAAAATCAATTTATGAAATCAGCCTGATATTTTAAATGAATAAAATTTCACCTACACAATCTGTCCTTTCTCTGGTTCCGCAGTGGTTTTGATATGGCCCTTCAGAACTGACTGGTGTAATTTTGAAAGCTTATCTACCAACTTAGGTTCCGAAGTAGTTGGAACAATTTCCTCCGTTTGATTTCCTAACACACAGAATTCTACTTCCGCAAAATTTTCAAAAAAGTTGTTCCATTCCTGCAACAAATATTCTTAATGATTAATAATATAAAATAAAAACAATCTTTTGTATTCTGGATGCCAAAAATCCCATGCTTCACTTTATGGACATAAATTCATTTGCTTGGGAACACATGTGTACAGGTGATCTGGACTCCTCTGCACTCAGTACTTGTCTTGAAAATTTCTTTGATTCCTATACCTACATAAGTCTATATAAAACTTAATGAAGACTAGTAGGATGCTATAATTACTAGTCCAATACTTGTATCATACAATTTATCTGACCATTTGTAGACATACTATACCTTAGTGAGATCTGGATTGGGTAGTTCTTTGACTTTGACGATGTACGCTAGAGTTAGCAGCACCACAGCAAAGGTCCCCAGACTCACCACAAATAGGACCATGGGCGGCTTGTTTTTAGCAAAACTCTTCAGGTTTTCACAAATAGCACAGTCGAAAGCCATTATCGTTATGTTTCTCAATCCCTGAAATTAAAAAAAAAAAAACGAAATGTAATTAATACATGTACAGTGTAGTACTAATGAACATCCCTACATCCCCATAAATACCAGACACTGGGAAAAATTTCATTTGTTGCCTGTATCAATCCCCTATTATTTGTTGATGTAATCAGGAATTTTGTTCTATTTAACAATCTCCCATTATTTGTAGAAGTAATTTGAAGTTACAAGTATTTCTTCCTGATAGCATATTAATTATTTATCCTTTGTTTATAGATTTATTGACAAAATATTTTATATGCCTACAGTTAGAATTCAAACATGGTGACTTTGTACACTATTAAACATTCTTCATATCTAAAATTTATACGTTATATTGATTTTCCCTGATTTTTTTTTCTATTTTGTCACTGGTATTTATCCAATGAATACTGTCCAGTTTGTCTCTTGATAAAAGTTTTTTATCTTTGTTTTCTATTACAATAACTTTCACTTCTATAACACTGTTTATTTTGAATTCATAGTTTGGGGCTCTAGAGAAAATGCACCTGTATGCCTTAACTTAACTCACCTGTTTCAACTGATGAAAACCTTTCTTTTTTGAATGAAATTCAAACTTCATAGTGATGAAGAAGAACCTCAAATGACATAATGGTGGATTGTTGAGTTGCTCTGTATATTATAAACTAGAGCTGTTTAGACAAAAATTTATACCCGCTGCATAATGAAGTGGGGCACATTTGAACCACATTGTATACAACACAAAGTCAAGGTAACAATGTCTCCTTTAGTAACCAATAATCATTTTTTTGTTAAAATAAAAACATTTCTTCGCACTATCTGTTTCTTAAGAGAAATTTTCTGCCTGACTAGATTTTTCCTGCTTTTTTATATGCAGTGACCTTTGACCTTGCAAAATTGAAATAAGGTCATGTCCTGACCACTCTCTGGACATTAGCATATCATAATACATTTATCAATTATGACCTTTGACCATATCCTCCTCATGACCTTTGACCTCATAAAAGTGGCCACACAAAAATTATTCTAATATACCCCAAAACTTCATCTGCATTGGGTAAAATAACATGCTGACAAATCACGCAAGATTTTTTTTTTAAATTTAATTTGTGCACATGGAAATTTCTTTTTTAACAGTTTAAAAAACATGTTAATTATGAAAGTGATTGATCAATACATTGATTATACTGATTAAATATAAATGACTGACAGTAATGCAAAATTCAAATTCTTAAAAATAAATATATACATTGAATACATGTATCATTAATGAGTTCCCTTAAATTGTTTCTCTTAATTATAAAACTATTTTAAACATTTTTTCCAGATCATATACCATGTATCCAGATAGAGGTATACCATGTATCCAGATAGAGGAGAGCAATGATTATTAAGTCCATATGAGTTATTATAGTTGACCAGCCAACTGGTTAAGTTAGGTTAACATTTTAGAATTAAATTTGTACTACTACTTGTATTAAGATCTATTGTTATTTCATTATAAAATATATGATATATATAAAGAACTTTCCTTCAAACCAATGTCCAGGCCAAAAAGTTATTTTTTCAACAAATACAAAATCTTTCCCTGATTATAACAGTTTCCCCAAGTATTTTTTAAAAAACATTTTTCAGGTTTTCAAAGAATTTGTTAGACTGTTGAGATTGCCCCCCCCCCCCCCCCCCCTGCCCTTTCCAAAAAAAAAAAAATATATATATATATAAATTCTTTCTACATGCCTCATATCAGACTAAAATTGTAGCAAATTAGATGTTTCACTACACAAAGAGTCAGTCAGCAGTTAAATGTGTAAGTAAAGCATGTCAGGAGTTGCTATAATCAAATTTGAAAGGAAGTGAATCTTTCAAGTTGATATTTTCATAAGCATGAAACAATTTTAATAAGTACTAAAGTAAAGTTTCAAAATGAAGTGTAAAATAACTTGTGAAATAAAATCAACATTGACAAATATTTGAAGCATTATGTGTCACCATCACACATAATATTGCAAATGGATGTGATATACCCAACATTGCATTTAAATTACAAATTTTTCTTTAAAAAAAACTTTAAATTTCATGTATACAATAAAAGAGGTAATTCATAAGCTAATATTTGCAGACTTTTATCAAATTCTAGAAGTAGTCTTCAATTTTTAATTGAAAAACTAGAATAGCAAAGGAAATGCAGAATTGCATTTCAGCAAATTGTGTTTTATATTAAGTGTGGATTAAATTAGTGGTGCATGAATGATTTGTATTTTTTTCCCCCCGAGATCATTTAGACAGTGTGCTTTTAATCTGACAATTGGAGTTTACAAAACTCATTAAAAGTATTTAATTCTAACAATCATATTCATAAATGTAAGGCATATTTTAACAGGCATTAATCACTTAATCAGTGTGCACCAAAAGTTTGAGAAGCAACAAACCGGCATGTCTGAGTAAGCAGCTCAAGCAGGCGAAGAAAATAAGCTTAATAACATCATTATTGTTTCCAAGCTTTTTAAATAATGTATAATGTTTTATTATTGATAATGCCACCCATGTTTTCAATTGTGAGAAATTCTTAGTTTCAGTTATGTTTAATTTATCCTCATTTAATACCAATTTTATTACAATTTTTAAGATTATAAATGAATTGCATTTAGAAAATGTCTATGCACCTATATATTTTAACACTGACACCAGCCACACTTAAAACTTTTGAGTTTCATTTATGATGTTTATGTTTACCTTGTGTTAATATTTTTCACTATAAACAGAATGAGAAAATCATTACAACAAATATGCATATTTTTTAATGGTTTGAACTGTGTCTGAATAGTAACATTGCTTGAAAGTAAATATTTAATTGCTTGACAAATATGTTTCTATCCAGTGGCACATCAAACACCAAAAGAGGCAGGATGAAGAATGCCATTTTGACAATATATCTTTTATATATATAAGTGATTGGGAAGGGCTTGCGCCATAGTCGCATTGAAGTGAAAAATGGCGCATTAAATCAATCAATCATTGCGCCAAGGCGCGCATTCAATTTTTAGCGATGTTATTTGGAAATATTTTGCATACGACTTTCTTTCTTGTTTTACTTTTGTTTTACTAGTAAATGCAGTCAATTTAAAACAACAAATCTCATTGGTTGAAACCTGTCAAAAAGTACTTCCGGTTAAACGAAGCACTTACATGAGGTACAATACTTCATTCATTTGTATGGTAGGGTTGTTCCCTTTCCAGAACTGTTGTAATTTTAACACAAAATACGGGTCAGTTATATTCTAAGCAAGTGCTTTAAATTTGCTGCATTTCATGCGTTAAAAGTTGGATTCGGTTAATTAAAAATGTGTTTTCTCTTGTATTTCATATTTGTTTGTCACTTTGTTATTTCCTAAGATGGCCCTTCAGATTATATTGATGGCCCATTCATTTTCGAAATGGCCCATCAAAAATTTTGACAGTTGCGCCATAGTCCCATTGACCATTTTGGCCTTCCCAATCACTGATATATTTATATTTTATCCTCAATGACTGAAAGTTCTAGATAGCTATAACAACAGTTATTGGTAATCTTATTTGAGCTTTCTCATTTTATCAATAATGATTCATTGAATGAATTCTGACATCACTTTTAATGTCTTGAATTCATTTTTTTTTTATTTCTACAGGTTGGGCACACACCGCCAAATGGTCATTTAATCCCCGTTTGGTGGTCAATCGCCCATATCGGCGTCTTTTTTACCTACCAAATGGTGGTCTTTTTTATTCAAATCCAATTTTCATTGAAATAAAGCAAAAGCGCATTTACTTAGGCATTGGGGAATTTTAATTAACATATTCATCGCACATTTAATACAATATAGTCAATTTTCCATGTGGAATTTCTGTGGAACTTCGTAAAAACGAAACCCACAGCTGTTCGTGACGGCCGAACTATTAGCTCAAACAATACGAAAAATTATTTTGTTGTGTATAGTTCGGTAAAAAATACATATAAACAAGAGGTGTTAGTCTAGAGAAGTAACTTTTCAAACGATCTTTCGATCTGCGTCTGTATAAATCTTTATAAAATCCCGTTAAACACGAGCTCCTCGAATCTTATTCGTATGGTGGGCAGTTATTGCTATAATATTCATTTTTCCTACATTTGAATGTAATATTTATTCTTTATTTTCTTTTAGGATGAAGTTACGATTTCTGTGCGACCCTTTGTGGTTTAGTATGCATATCTAATGTTGTATCTACCATTTTATTAAATATTTTTGAATAAAAGATTTACAAAGTGACATTTGCAATTATTCCTGTTTTTATTCCAAGATTATGGTTTTCGAGTGATTATTTTAACATGAATTCACTGCATATCGCTTTTGTATAAAGAATAAAGCCATTGCTTACGAAATAAACTAAATAAAAGCGAATTCTTACCCTTCCTCTTATTTTACTTTTTGAAATTTAACACTTATGGGCCTCCGTAGTTAATTCAGTCTTTTGACCCAAGTTTGGAAAAGATCGTCATATTTGATTGGTTTAGATAATTGATCGGTTGCCCGGATGACAGAAATATGAAGTGATCAACACGATTGATAGGCTCAACTACGCGCGAGACGGAGGGAATTTTTCATTTTAAGTTAAAACAGAAAACGTTACACTTGTTTACATAGGTGACGATTTTGTCAATTATTTGAACGACACTGCGCAAAAAAAAGAGTACAGATAAATATCTATATTTTATTCCCCGTGAGTTGAAATTCTGCGCCATTTCACGTCATTCCAGAGAAGTGAACAGAATGATTTTTCTCTCCCATTTGGTGGTTAATAAAGACGCCGATATGGGCGAATGACCACCAAACGGGGGTTAAATGACCATTTGGCGGTGTGTGTCCAACCTGTTCTATGTTAGCTTCATTGTATTGTAAGTGGCATGCTAGATTCACATAATATACTTACACTAAAGTCAATAAAATTCAGAAGTGTATGCTTAGTTTTAAATTGATTAACAATATTTATTAAATACAGCCACATTTGAAAATCTCCTTTGCCTCATCAGACTGAGCTCATGCTTTAATCCCAAACACTGAAACAGGAAATACAAATTAAAATCGACATGTCTACATTCTTTTACAGTTTTACCTGTTTGTTTCAGTAATTTGGATATCTTTTACACTTTCATAACTCGTATAAAATCTTTCATGTCATTTTTTCAATGTTACTGCGTCGAAATTTGTTGATACGTCCAACTAGGGCCAATGTACGTGTCCAACGTCAGCCATGACAGGTGTGTACTATTGAAATGATTTGAAACGGATATTTTATTTCCGGCCACTACTAGGCTGGAACAATCATTGAATGTTAGTCGTTTTATCAATATATTTTATGTGTACACCCACAAAAAAATGTTACCGTAATAAACTTTAATTTTCAAAATTATGAATTTGATATACATCTTAATTCTAGTTGAGACACTGGTAATTATATAATATTACAGGCCGGGTTCTCCGGCATTCGGTGTCAGCTCTCCGAAAAAAATAATTATATTGACAGACGGTCTGTGAATATATTTTTTGGAGAGCTACAGTTCTGCAGCTATGTCTGCAGTGGATGGAATTTCATTATTTATGGCATAATATTAATAAGCCAAATATGAACGCCATATCACATGTCATTCAAATGTAATCACCAAGTTAAAAATTTTGAAAATTAGGTCTAACATTAAGGTCAAGGGTTCAAAACCTTTAAATTCCAAGAAACATCTTGTTATAGGTAATGTACATGTCAAATATGAAAGCAATATTTCTTCTCAATCAACACTTTTAAGAACAGATAATTGTTTTTAAGTAGGTCAAACTTCAAGGTAAAAAAATCATAGTATTTTTTGAAAGCCCTTGTCACATATAACATAACATGTTCCATGTATAATATGAAAGCCCCATCTTTTCTCTTTCAAAAGATATGACCAATTTAAAGTAATGTTCAAATTTTTGAAAAGTAGGTCAAACTTCAAGGATAAGGACACAGGGTAAAAAATCATGTATTCATGATATATTTGAAAAGGTCTTGTCACAAGTAATAAACATGTGAAACGTGAAAGCTCTATCTCTTCTCGTTAAAAATTATAACCAAGGTTAAAGCCTTTTTGCGACTGACGGACAGACTGACAAATGAATGTGATTTAAAGTCCCTTCGTTTTCCTGAAAGCGTGGACAAACTGAGATCTTTATAGATCGCCACAAAAAGTTGGGAAGCAATCTGGTTGAAAATTGAAGATCTATATATTTTATTTTAACAGATTTAAAAATTGGGTTAAACTTAATTTAGTGTCAAGATCACAGGTCAAATACTAGAGGTACTGTGAGCAATGAGCTCACTAAATGATACCCCCGCCTTCCATATGGTTATAATGGCAAAGTCCATGTTTTGCTGTGGCCGGGAAACCCAAAATATGCGTCGGATCAAAAAGTAAAATAGGATCTAGGTGCACAATGGCAATATGTAATAAAGATTGTGTGAAAGTTTCATTAAATTTCACTCCGTGGTTTAATAGGAGTTGCGGATAAGAGATGGGTACCCCAAAGCATAATAGACAGACGGACGGACATACCCATTACAGTATACCCTCCCACTTTTCAAGCGGGGGGTATAATGATAGAATGTTCGGAGCGCCGTCTTTCAGGTATGCACAACATAAAAATGTTTTATCTTCTTTAAGGTCAAGATCTAGTAAATGAAAGCTGCCTACAGATTTTTCAAATTTAAGAAATTAATTCCTTTAAGGATGCGTTATAATATTAGCTTGGTCAAAATAGATGTTTCGGGGCATAATTTGTAGAAAAACAAGATGAAAAACCATATTTTAAACTGCCATTTTCAAATGAAAAATTAAGAAAACCAGCATTGAAAATGGGAGTTTTTACCATATCAGGCAAAGAAAATGTATCCAGATTGCCTGCAGTTTTTCAGAAAACGGTAATTTGTATGTTCTTAGTCTCAACTTCAAAATAATGTCAAATTTAAGAAAGGTATCGGGACTACTTTTCATGTGATTCCAAATTGAATTCCATGGAAATACTTTGTTTTCTACATAATTCTATTAGAGTCGTAAAGTACGAGGAAAAGAAAAGTTGAAAGTGATTATGACGTCATAATGGATTAAGCACTGAAAAGTTACTCTAAAGTCATTTACTAGATCTTGACCTTAATTCCTTCAAAGATAAGCACCAATGAGATTTTTTAAAAGTTTGATCGAACTTGAAGGTCAATGTCACCGGGTCAAATATTATTATAACATAATGCAATTTTCTTTTCACAGCTTTATAAATGCACATGCCAAATATGATGGAAACAACTATGCGATGACGATTCTACGATAACATTATGGAGCGATAGTGATTATCTCTTTATCATGGCACCACAGATCATCAGCACCGCAGCATCGCGCCAGGCTATAGATCGCTTCATATCGTGCCAACGCTTTTTCGCGCCATCGCGTCATCGTCATCGTGCTATTGCATCGCTCAATCGTCATTACACCGTTTATTCATGGCCATCACATTTTCGCGTCATCGCACTTATATCAACACAAACTTCGATGGTGCGATGATGCATGCGATAGTGCATGTGCAATGTGACCCTATCCATATACTCACCACCACCTCGTTCAATATATTTCTATAAAAGGCGCTATTACCACACAGGCACTTGTTAAGGTCTTCCGTTTCCAACGGAAGACCTTCTACTGATTCTGTTGGTAAAGATTATTATGTCGCCCCGAACGAAGTCGGGGACGACATATTGATATTGTACGCATGTTTTTTTTATCCAGGCTGTTTCTCGGAGATGGCTGGGACAATCTTCCTGAAACTTTCCTTAAAGGACGATCACTGGTTGTAGTTGTGCAGTGAGGTCGTTCAGTTCCAATATGTCTACCGTTGCCATGGAAACCTGTAAAAAGCGACAAATTTTGTCCGAGAGTGTTCTCTCTGGTCCCTTAAACGTTCGTCATGAAACTTTTCTTATTTTAATGATTAGTTTCTGTAGTTCTGCAACTCGTATTTAAAATTTTCATATAATCGATTATTGCCATGGAAACCAGTTGAAAGCTAAAATTCTTTAATTTCGATTTTCTCAATAACTACTCAGGCAATCGTTTTGAAACTTTCAATGTTTATTCCTTGCAATGTGTCAAAGTGATTTCTACTTTCAAAATAATTGTAATGAGTCGCTCACGCTTGCCATAGAAACGAAACAGAAAAAAAGATTCAGATGTACACATGTGTTCTCCAAGGTCTAGGTCAAAGGGTCAAAGTTCGTCGTATCCAATAAAAGTTCTTTTCATAAGGATTACATATTTGAAATACGAAAGCCCTAGTACTTACCGTTTAAACGTTATGGCTATTTACTATGTTCAAGACGACCCCCCCTTTTTTTGAAGCACACAGCCAAGTTGAATACACAGATATAACATATACAACTTACAAGTAACTTTTTAAAATCTTCATTCATAAAATTCAGTTCCCGTCATGTGATATTTTGCCATCATTCATTCTCCTTCTGTTTTGTCTCTTGAATTTATAAATATTTTAATTATTTTATCTATATATAAAAAAAAAATAACGATTGTCAACTGCATTTATTATCATTTTGCGTTTTCTTGTATATCTATCACTTGTATATTATTCATTTCATTAGATAGTGCAAGTATAAATTAAAAAATTGGTACGTCATTTCCATAGTTTTTATTCATTCATAAATTCTTTGATCCGCTCCTGATGGTTCGCAAAGCCTTGATCACCACTGTATACAAAACATTCATCTCGCCGAAAATGTTCATGATTCCGCTAAACTGAGAAAGTTCACACATGATTTATCATCTCATAACACACATCAGCTCTCTGCAATGCAGAAATGCTCGAATTGATGGTGGCATGTCAGATTCGTTTTTCGCTAGAACCTCTAAAATGAAAGTGAAAGAGGGAAATTTCAGAGTTCCCACTGGCGTTACAATACACAAAATAATTCGGCTGATCTTCTTCATAAATTACATTTCCCAAGATTTTATCATAGGAAAGATACTGCCAATTAACAAGTATGAGGCTCAGTTCAGTACATCTGCCAGATTTCTTTTATGCAAGTCTGCAAATTGAGGAACTTGTAATTTTCCTGCACTACTTTCTTCTCCTACCGATTCTAAAGATAAGGAGTGGGATGTACCGAATTAAGGTCTTCCGTTTCCAATGGAAAGGAATATAACTCAATGGTTGTTCAAACTTAGCTTATGGAACTTTTGTTTTAGTGATGATAAAAATGTCTTGTCTAATACGACATATGCTATTGCTTGCAATAGCAGACTTTCGTTATTCTTTTTTTTCTTCCCTTTGAGGCCTCATATTCGCTCATTTCTCAACGGATTTCGCTGTTAATTTTTAGACCTTATAGACGTTAATAAACTCTATCAGAATGATGTCTAAAATTTCAAAAAGCCACTTCCGGTTTTGAGTTATTTTTTAAAGGAAAATTTATAATTTCAACAATGAATGAAAACTGTGTAAATTTTAGATAATAGAAGGATTGAATTGTGCACATCGGTTTTTGTTTTTCGATTTCTGTATTCAAAATGGCGCTATTATTGAAAAGAACCAAAAATTAATATTTTTCTTTTTATCTTCTAAACTAAAAATATTTTGTTAAAATATATAGAAGTAATTTGAAAATTTCATCTTTCAAATGATATGTTGAAAAAAGGGCTGACCCCTAAATTAAGGGACCTAGAGGGGCCAAATTTTTTCCAGATATCTGAAAAAAACTTGAAATTTGTTATGCATCTAAAGCAAAGTTGTTCAAAATATCAAGCTTTATCTAATGGGGTCGTTAAAACGTCCGGCGATATAACCAATCATGGCTTTGTTGTTTTTGAACATGAAGAAAAATATTAATTTTCCGGTTTCGTCAAAGGTCAATTAACAATTTTGTCCAAAAATTATTTTTACATAGCCCCAAAAAAAATTACTTCCGGTCATGTGAGGTATAAAGTTAAAACTGTTACAGTTTATAATTTTTTCATTGATTAACACACTAGAAAGTATCACCTTTTGTGCCCATAAAAAAAAAAATCAATTTTTGTTGGCTTGGAAAAAATATTAATTCAGAAAAATTACTTTTTAAAAATGCATATATTTTCAAAAACTTTATTAATTAAGGTGTTATAATGCTTCTTTAAAAGACGTTTTAGCGTCCTTTTTCGTTGCACATTTCGCACGTTTAAATACCATTATTGCCTAACGAAACAAAATATGTTTATCAATCGTGGGCAAGTTGGACTTGGATAGACCGTCATGTGTCAGTTGGTTTCACACTTTCATGGGTTATTTTGTTCAAATGTTAATTAAATAAAAGTGAAAGTACACTGCAAATGGCGAGATTTTTAAAACAAGAGGTCCATGTCACATTCAACTTACATGTTCAATGCTTTCAAAATAACAGCCTTTAAAGCAGAGATTCCCATTACCACTAATAAAAGTTAACTTGCCCTACACTAATGATAAACATATATTATTTCTGACTTGCTGTGTTTTTTTTCACTTAAAAATTCTCAGTTAACCTCGGACTTTCAGTAAGGCGTGTGCATTTTTCTTTAAATATGCAAATGGCATTTTCTGAAGAAATTAATAACATCATTTTTGTTGTTCAAAAAGTATACCTTTTAAAAATATTTGTTATCACTGGTGATACTTTTTTTATCCAAAGTTAATCAACAATATATTTATAAACTGTATGTAACGTTTTGACTTTATAAAAGTCCACACATTGTAGTTTTGGAAAATTTCATTGTAAAAATAATTTTTTAACCGAAGATGCTTGTTGAAATATAACCAATCATGGCTTTCTTGTTCTTGAGAAGAAAACGTTTAAAGATTTTTCCCATATATTCCTATGTAAAAATTTGGCCATTCATTGTGGCCCCATCTACACCCGGGGTCTTGATTTTAACAAACTTGAATCTACACTACCTCAAGATGCTTCGATATTAGTTTCATCTTTTCTGATCCAGTGGTCCTTAAGAAGATTTTTAAACATGCCACCGAATTTTCACTACATAATATATATTTCTTAATTATCTCCCCTTGAAAGAGGACATGACCCTTCATTTGAACAATTTGAATATCCTTCATCCAAGGATGCTTTGTGGCAAGTTTGGTGGAAATTGGCCCAGCGGTCGAAAAAGTGAAAAGTTTAAAGACGGACGCACAGCTAGACGGACAGCTAGACGGCGAGACGGACTGCAGATAAAATGTGTTCAGAGAAAGCTCACTTGATCTTTAAGCTCAGGTGAGCTAAAAATTCAATTCAAGAGCCATCAGTCCAGAAATTTCAAATTGAACAATTGTACATGGTCTCCTGCTTTCGGTGTCTTAAAAGTAGTAGATGGGATTCCATTATTTATTGCATATATAGTGTCAAATATGAACCCCCTATCATGTCATTCAAAAGTTTACAGTTTTACACCCAAGTTCAAATTGTTGAAAATTAGGTCAAATATAAAGGTGAAGGTAAATGGGTTGGGGTGGAGACCCCCAGGGAACCTTTTGAAGAAAAACAATCCTAGAAAAGAATCATTTCAGGAGGATAAAAATAAGTTACAGTCTATGTTATTATTATTCAAGTTTTTCCCATATAGTATTCAAACTATGAACTCAGATTTAAGGTGAATCTGGGGTCATAATTGGGTTCAAATATTCACATGGAATGTGAGATAGAGATATAATCGTTAAATATCATCTTCTTAAAATTAACAGTACTTGTACACTAATTCCACTATAGCGCAGATTCTTTTTCGAGTTAAATCACACATTAAGCATTCCTACCCCATAGGCATTATCTAATGTTACATAAATGTAATACATTTTTAAGTTTTAAAAAATCTTCTCTAGAATAACAAACATCTTCGTGTAGAGGGAAACGACTTGATATGGCCAAGTAGTATAATATACTCATTACTTCGATGAATATTTAATATGCCGGGGTTCTTTGGCCTCTTGTTATTCATAGTTAGATAGTTAGATATCAGTGTTCATTCGAATCGTTATACTAAACAGATGTAACCCCCTTTTTTTCAAAAAAGAAAAAATTAGAAATATATTCGACACAAACATACATTAAAAAAAAAAAACATTTATTCTAACATTTAGTCGTGAAATGTTAGCACTGAAAATAGTGAAAATTACTTTTAAAAGTTCGATTTTAAGTCTTTGGGTATAATTTCATTATTTTCATTTTTTAATATCTATTTTTTTTTTTATATAATTTTTGAGATCACGGTAATTTTTTTTTAAAGATTTTTTTTTGTTTTGTTTAATTTCCAATTTCTTTTCAATTGAGAAAAAAATCTTTCAAAAGTTATAATTTTTTTTTTAATGATAAAAGAATGATCCACCTCTTTCGTTTCAATCTTAAACGTGGTCGGCGAACCACGTGTTATCCATATAAGGACAGCATCACGTGGTTTTTACCTTTCCACAACAATTTATTGCCAGGACAACGCCCACTGATTACAATGTCTACGTGTGTAATTATATGAAATACAAAGCACAGATAAAAATTACTTGATTTCAATGCATAATTAACTTCACAAATGAGCTAATTTACAATCGTTCGAATGTTTTCATGAATTCAGGGGATTTATTTCGACAATAAAAATCAAAACAAAACATGTGATTTCTAACGTGGTGTATTGGTGACGTCAAAATAGTATATTCTGATTGGTTGTTCAATGACAGGTGCCACTCAAAAACCACGTGGTGTATTAATATTTTCCTAGCGTTGAGTGTTTTGGTCGGGCCGCGCCATCTTCCTCGAATGTACGTTGTTTTGCGTTTCTTTGGACCAAAAATACCGCCCGGCCTTCTACATTTGCAGCAAAGGAATTATTTGCCACCTCTGCTAGCTAAAAATTCAAATCGAGAAGTGAAATGAGTCTGGATACGCTGCTTGAAGCTGCTGAATTTCTGGAATGGCGTAACCAGTCCAAAACACGTGGTATGTTTCGCACATGGCAAACTTTAGCTGAAAATGCTGGTGTAATTTGTCATTCTTTAAGCCTAAAATGTATTGAATATGTTACAAGTATTATTCCCTTTATCAATTAAAGTAAAATATTTGTATGTACTTCGGCAGAAAACCACAGTCAAGTGATTAAAATTTTGTACACAAGATCGGTGAACATCGTCCGGTCTCGCTTTCATTTTTGACTCATTTGCATATGTATGAGCACGCCATTAACGTGATATTTACATTCCCTGTAGCTGATGATTCTGCAGGCCGAGTATCGTCAACAAACGGATCAGACACTTCACAAGATTCTTACAGCTCTGCAAAAATCATCTATATGGATCCAGACGACGCAACTTTACGCAGGCGTGCTGGAGGGTAAGGCGCTGAAAATGTAAACAGACTTGACCTTGAGGTATCATCCACGTGCTTGATGACGAAACAGTCGATGTGTGCATTGCACATCATATGCAGGAAGTGACGAGAGTTCTATCATTTTAGGGGATTAAAAGATAAAGAAAAATTATAAACACATATAAAATATTTATCATTGTCACATACACATATTATTGACACACACACACCCTTTCATGAATAAAACAGTGACTGTATTTATGTTTCAGTTATACCATATAATATCTAGAAAAGTCATGAAAAAAATTGATGATTTGTGAAAAATGTAAATAATGTTAATTTTAAAAGCTCTTTAAAAGAATTAACTCCAGTATGCATAATTAAGTATCAGATATGCATTAAGTATACCATATATGATACCTAGAAAAGTTATGAAAAATATTTAAAATTTGTGAAAATGTACATTGTGCTATTTAAAAGCTGTAGAATCTACAAAACATTCAATTCAAGTATTTTAATTTCCATCAAAAACAGAAAAAATCGTCATGGTAATTAAACAAGATTTAATGTATAATATGACTTCCCAAATGACTGTTTTTGAGAGTACGCAATGATATTGAGATGAGATTGATTAACATTTCAGAGCTGGGACCAGAGAGGTTCACAATAAATTAGAGAAAAACAGGTGAATATAACAGTTGTGATATTGGTAGATATAGTTGTATAACAGAGAAAAACAGGTGAATATAATAGTTGTCATATTGGTAGATATAGTTGTATAACAGAGAAAAACAGGTGTCAATATAATATAGTTGTCATATTGGTAGATATAGTTGTATAACAGAGAAAAACAGGTGAATATAATAGTTGTCATATTGGTAGATGTACAATAATGTAGTTGGAGATTGGGGTGTATTATTTTGGACATAAAAAAGGAGATATTTCCATTGATTTTACTATTAAAAATCATTGTATGTAATTTTGCATATTTTTTATATTCATACCTAAAATTTAGTGTAGTCTATTTGATATTGTGTATATGGTTTTTAATACCTCTGCATGGTAAGTGTACTTTAATATGTATATATGCTTGTGCAAAGAGCATACCTAGACCCATTACGAGACAGAACAAATAAAAATATGATGCCCTGGATAATTATGATGAGAAAATTATTCATATTTCTTTGAATTATTTGTATAGGAGGGCACATCTGAAGGAATGCTTTGACATTTTAAAGAAACAGATTCCAACCTTGGAGGATAAAAGAACTTCAAATCTCTGTATTTTACGTGGCTCTATACGATACATTCAGGTAAATATTTTCAATTTCTTGAATGTTTAAAGAAAAAGCTAAAGTGTCTTCCAGAAACTAATAACTATCCTTAGTGCAGATATTAGCTGGAGGCCATGTATGAAGTGACAGAGAAATTACGATGGTAATTTGATAAGATAAAAATGATATGGACATGCTTGTGCAGATTACCTATTTTTAGTAATGGGAAGGGGCGGAGCCAACTGTAGGTACAATAAGTAGGTCAACCTGGGAACCATGGCTTTAAATCCAATACATGTTGAAATCTGATTGGTCCGTCATATATAAACACTAGCACATAGAGGTCACTTGGGGTGAGGGAGAAAGAGAGACAACTCAAAATGAAATTGTATAATGCTTAATCACATTTTGCCTTAATTTTACTCTTTTTTTTGTATTTTTAGGCAGTAAAAAGGAAAGAGAAAGAGTATGAACTAGAAATGCAAAGATTAGCAAGAGAGAAAATAACACTTCAAGAGAGAATACATAATTTAAAGTCAGAGTTAGCCAGGATGAACATTGAGGTGGATTTAAATAAGTGGGTTACCCTTCCTGACGAGCAAGACACCAATTCCACATCCACTGCCACAGGTAAATATAGGTTTAACTTAATTAGTATGCTGGTTGCATGTTTAAAAAAAGAAATTTTATAAATTTAAGGGATGAAGGTTGAATACTACTTGAGAAATGAAAATGCAGCAGTAGATTATTTTTCTAACCAATTCAAACCTGAAATTGACATTATCATATGTATGACAACTGTCAAAAAAATAATGCCACCAACCCCACCCCCACCCTAATACTACTTGCCTGTACCCAACCATTTTCAAATAGGTTGTGAAAATATTTGCTATGGCAGAGAAAGAAGCTTAAATTTGTTTGCAAGATATTAATATATATCATAACAATGCTATAAACATTGAACCAGCCAGTTAAATATTTATTTGTCATTGTTGCAGAACAAGGAAGTCCAATATGCAGTGATGATGATGACGATGATATTAGAAGTCCTAATAAATCCTATATGGGTAAGTTTATACAATACAAGTTATGCAGAGAAACTGATGTGTAATTTTCTGTCATGAATTATCCAAGTGAAGAAAGTTTGTACTAGAGAGAGTAATTGAAATTTATACAAGAGAGAAAAATCTAGAACTTGTTTAAAAGAAAATATAGAGTTTCTTCATGGAACAATAATTTAGAATTTGTATATTAGACAGTAATCTAGAATTTGAATAAGAGACAATAATCTAGAATTTGTATGAGACAATAATGTAGAATATGCATTAGAGACCATATTAATTGAGAAATGTCAAGGTGTGCATTTATTTTTAAGGTGAAAGGGACATTGTCAAGAAATTATTCCCAGGCAGCAACAATCAGAATGCAATCAACCACCAGAGAGAGTTGACAATAATAAAAGTCAGCAAGCCTGACCATGTGAGCATGCCAGCAGCCACCATACTGAAAATTCCAACCTCCAAATCTCCTCTTCAACAGCATTTAATGTCCCCCATACAAGGGAATTCTCTGTTAACTAAGCCCCCAGTTCCAACTCGGCCTGAGCAGGTGTCATCAGCACCTGCTACTGCGACTACCTCCAATTCCCTAGATACACGCACGCCAGTAACGCAGCTGTTGGCCAGGACATTAGAGAAAAGACAAAAACAACAGCAAAGTGCCATAGTCACAGGTAATGACCTGTTATATTTGACAAACAGCATTGTAAAAAATACTATATACCACTTTATTTTTGTCCTTTCAAACTTGCAAACAATTTTGTCCCGTCTTTAATTCGCTATGACACACTTTTGTTTAAGAAATTATACTGTATTCTTTGAATTCGCCCCATTTTAAATTTGCCCAACCAAGGTAAGGGTAAGGCAAATAAAAAACGGGTACAAAAATTTCTCTGTATACAGAAGTCAGTATTGCTCATATTGAGTCTTTTGGATACGGTGTCCATAATTAATTTTGAAAGAAATTTCTTCTTATGATGAGTCATATGGGTATACAGTTTCCATAATTCATTTTTGAAAGAAATTTGTTTTTATGGTGTAATGAAAAATATTTTAAATGTTTAGTCTAAGATGTAAAATTTACATGGTATCATTAATTGCATGATGCCTTACTCCTTATTTGTCTTTGTTTTTCAGTGACAAGTGTCAGTCCCAGTGTTAAACCAACACCAGTACCCACAGTTCCATTAAAGACCATTCCTATAAGACATTCTCTGGGCATTCCAATAGCAACACAGTTTGTTGCTGCACCTGGAGCAGCACAGTTAGCAGCAATTAACAAACTGGTTTCCCAGGGTACCTTAGCTATGCCAGTCACCATGGCTAAAGGATTTGCCCAGCCCATTCTGGTTTCTACTAACTTGATGACAGGACTAACTTCTAGTCAGCAACAACAGATATTAAACAGTGCTGCAACACAGAGTATGGCAAAACAGACTCCAGCAGCCACTTCTACTATTGCTACAGCAACCACCACTGTCAAGGTCACGACACTCTCTGCTACACCACTGTCAGCTACATCACAGTCGGCTACACCATTATCAGCTACGCAACTGTCGGGCACTCCTTCCGTGGCTACCCTAGGAAATGTTTCCAATATCAGACCACTTGCGAATACAGGCACAACTCACATGCTGGGACAAATCCCCTTCAATATTCTAGCTCAAGCACTGCCCAGAACATCTTTAGGACAAGTGGTCACACCGGCCACTTCCACAGTGTCAGTCTCGATTCCCTCTAGTCTGCCACAGAGCGTTAACATGCAGCAGCTCATGTCACTTGCTCAGATTACTCAAGGGACACAACTGGTGTCTCCAATGACAGTTATGTCTCCTGGAGTGCAATTTGCACAGGGATTGACTCAGACACAGTTAAACACGATGCTTTCAAGTCCTCTTCTAAAGCAGATTCCCTTGATTCCTCATGGATTCTTGCAGGGAGCTCAGATGGGGGGTGTTTTAGGACAACCAGTGGTGAAGCCGGTTGTGGTTGTCAGCCTGCCCAGTGTGGTGAGCACCACCACCACCACTTCTACCATAGCTGCTACAACCACCACCACCACATCATAGGAATTGAAGGGAGATAACCAAGTTAATATTGAAATCCAGGCAATTTTAGCAAAATCCTTATTCTATGTGTTATCAATACAGATATGTAATGATGTAAAATTTTTCACAAATTGTTACTACCGGTATGTTATTTTGGGTACAATATAGTAATTTTTAAGTATTGATGGGCTTAAAATAACTTTTTTAGATCATGTATATCTAATATCTGTGTAGTTTCAAAATCCAAAGGTTTAAAGATTGAGGAGTATCTCAGAAAAAAAAAATGTCATTGAAAATATTGCTTTCACTTTTCATGAGGATATGATATTCATTGTAATTTTATTTTTAACCTTTCATGGACCTGATATAAAGAATAATAACTTTACCAATCGTTGCAGTAATTTTTTCAGTTCCATTTCATCCATCTTTCATGAATATTCCATACAGTCCTTTTATTGCACATATGTATGTCATATTTATAACAAAAATGTAACAGTTGATGCTAACTTATTTCATAGATTTCCATACGTGGAGTGGCTACTCAAAGCATTTTATTTCAATCTTTGGCATATTATCATTGCACTGTTTTCATTTGAATGCAGCTGTTGAATTTATGGAGCTGATACAAGATCACATATTTCACATCTTATCTGTCAAGTGCTATTTTCTTCATTTTGAGAAAGTTGTATATGTTTTTTGTTAAATCTGTTGTTATTGTTGTTGATGACTTGACTGTAAATATTTCTGGTTTTCTGTTTATACAGGCCAAATCACCATTGTCTGTGATCTTATATTAATTATGTGGAACATATTTACCATTAGCATTGTGTAAAATATATGTAGTGTTGCAGAAATTCAAGAGAGAGTGTGTAGAAGGCATACTGTATGCGAAGAGTGGAAGAAAAGAAGCAATGTGTGTTTTTGAAGCATGATTGTTCAAAATGCATGCTATATTGAAGAACATTAAAAGATATTTATGAAACTAAAAGTTAGATTGAAGTACAAGGTATTGCATTATGATAAAAATTCTCTTTGGTGCATTCAGTTTATATGTACAGTATGTATTGTGAATATGTGTTGAATTTTGATGATGACAGCTATTGAATTTCAGTAAAGGTTACAGTTTGTAAACATTATACAGTAAAACCTTTTTATCTCAAACTCAGTGAAATTGAGAAAATTTGAGTGTACAGAACAAATGGTATGGACTTGTAACTCACTTTGACATATCCATGGTATTAGAAATTTTGATGTTCGAGATACAGAAGTTCAACAGTTTTTGAGAACTACATGTACTGAATCCTAGAGGTTTACTCAAATTGAGTTTATGTATTCTGAATTCAGAAGAAATAGGGAAATGATTTCAATTCTATTTTTTCATTTTGATTTGTTTTTATTGTGATTTTGTTTAATTTATAAGACATGTTACAAAATCTAGGCGTAATATGTGTAAAGATTTTAACAGGAATACAAATGTACTGTGATGTAAAGTTTAGCACATCATATACATGAAGTGTAAAATTTAAACAATGTTTTCTGTCAACAAAAGCTACCTTTATATTCCACATACAAACAAAAATCATGCTTTTACATTTATATTAACTAACTACATTGTATGTAATATTGCAAAGTCATTCATTGTCAAAATAACTGTTAAAAAGCTTAAGAATTTTTCAAACCATTATTTAAAATCGGTAATGTTATAAGAACCTACAAACACCAAATTGTAAGAGGAAGGGGGAGGAGTAATTAATTTCTAGCTGTTGAAAGTACATTTAAGCTACAAATATTTGAAATAAATCCAAAAATAATCACTATTGAGGACTTGTGTTTGAGTTCTATGGAAGTCAAGAAACTAAGTTGGACAGGGTATGGTACATGTCACATTTATGTTTCATGTTTACTCCTTTATTGTACAGTGGATATAGTTCATGTGTTTGATATAAGAGAGTACCCAACTGCACAAGAAGCACAAAATTTGCCAAGGGCAAACAGTTTTGCAAGTCTGATGCCCAGATGAAGGTTTCAACTTTCCCACATATTCAACAAGAGGCCCGAGGTCTTGAATAGGTCTTCAGATAAATTGTACAATCTATCACTTCTATTTGAAGCCTCAAACTGTAAATATTTTAAGACCCAAGATGCATCAACTGACAAAGTTTTATGATTCTTAGCCATTTAGGACTGAAGATATTTCAATATAGCTATAAAATATCATAAGTAGGTCACAGTCACTCTTTGATCGAAATTTTCTAAGGACCCAAGATGCATTAATTGACAAAGATTGATAATTCTAAGCCAATAAGTACTTGAGATATTCAAAAGTAGGTCACTTTGACTTACTTTTGGGTTGACATTCTCCAAAAACCCAAGGTCCTTCAACTGACAAAGTTTGATGCTTCTAAGCAAATGAATACTTGAGATATTCAAAAGTAGGTCACCCTGACCTACTTTTTGGTCAACATTCTCCGAAAAACTCTAGATGCATCAACTGACAAAGTTCAACGACTCAGTACTGGAGATACTTAAATATAGCCATAAAATGTCACGAGTAGGTCACAGTGACCTACTTTTTGGTTATCCTTCTCCGAAAAACCCAAGATGCATCAACTGACTAAGTTAGACGATTCTTAGCAATAAGTATCCAAGATACTCATAGTCATTTAGAGCCATAAAATGTCAAAAGTAGGTCACGGTGACATACTTTTTGGTTGATGTTCCCGTGACCCAAGATTCATCAACTGACAAAGTTTGATGATTCTTAGCAAATAAGTACCTGAGATACTAAAATATAGCCATGGACCCGGACCACAATTAGCTTAATATAGACTTATATAGTAAAAACGTGTTTTATTTTCTTTGTAACTTTTTAAAAAATCTTCATTTCCAAAATATCTTTGACCATATGATAGAGCAATGTGTCAGATAAATATTCACATCCAGAAATAGGGGTGTTCAATGTGGAATTCCCTGGTTATTAATAAACTTCTGATGTCATGACCTCAGGATAGCTCTCCCTTGGCAAAAAAAGTGTAAACAAACCAAATGTCTGCTCTATTCAATACATATTTCTATGCATAATTTTTGCTTGAAATGCACCTTCATGCATATCATTGTAATCTTTAGACATTAAACTTCTATTCTATACCAAAAGAGTATCACAAACATGTGAGCTGTTTTTATTTTTATCATTGAAAGGGAGGTATGTGAATTTCCTACATGTGCTACATTTTAGCCATTTGACCTTCACCCTTTAATTGTGGCCCGGATCCTATATAGAAAGCCAAAAATAGGTCACTGTGACCTACTTTTTGGACAACGATCTCCAAAAACCCAAGATACATCAACTGATAAAGTTTGATGATTCTAAGCCAATAAAGTACTTGAGATATTCAAAAGTAGGTCACTGTGACCTATCTTTTGGTTGACATTCTCCGAAAATCCAAGATGCATCAACTGAAAAAGTTTGATGACTCAGACAATAAGTACCCGAGATACTTAAGTATAGCCACAAAATGTCAAAAGTAGGTCACCATGACCTACTTTTTGGTTGTCATTCTCCGAAAACCCAAGATGCATCAACTGAAAATTTGATGATCATAGGCCCCAAAGTGTCCAAAATGTGCCTCCAAATCAATTTGAAAACAAATACCCTTAAAATTTTAAAAATAGGTCACCGTGACCTACTTTTGATGTGAAGTCCTAAGATGCATCAACTTGCAAGATTTCTTGATCCTAGTCTTTAAAGTAAGCAAAAAAAAAATTGAATGTTTATTAAGTGTAAATTTAGGTCAACTTTGAAGTGACCTTGAGACCACGCCCTTTGCCCCAGGGTAATTCCCCATGCAAATATCAATCTTCAACATATCCTGATCAATGTTCGTAAGTTTGGTGAAAATCTGCCTGGTGGTTCTGGAGAAGATTATTTAGCAATCAGTACTTTTAGTTTTATTTTCTTGATTATCTCCCCTTGTTTAACCTGTGACAAATTTGACAATGATTGGCCAAGGGGTTCTTGAGTTATGTCTCATATTCTTAAAACTTAACACACACCTCACAAATGGCCATAGCATTAGCTCTTTGAGCCTTTGGCTCAGGAGAGCTAATAAATCTCTAAGTGTAATCCAATGTAAAACTTCCATCCCCCATTGTGGCCCCAACCTATCCCAGGGGATCAAGATTTGAACAATAATTGCTTCTAAACTGAGGATTTTTCAACATCAATATGACAAATAATAACTTTTTTCTGTTCTTGAGAAGATTTTTTCCTAAAAAAGGAATTACTATGAAAACCATGATGGCCCCAACCTACCCCATGGGACATGATTTGAACAATCTTGAAAATAAATTATATTAAAGAAGGTTTCATATACTTTTCTAGCCTAGTGGTTTTTGAGAAGGTAGTGTAGATTCAAGTTTGTTCAAGTCATGAACACTGGGGCTAGGATAGACAAAATAGGTGATCAAAGTTTTACAATCTAATTAAAATTAGATGTTAAATCCACTTGCATACTCGCTACACTAACATCCAACAACATCCCATAGAGGGTCACGTCAGAGTTCAAACTCTATAATATCAACCAATCAAATCGTCACCTGCAAAATCATCGTGTATTCTAGAAGCGAATAAGTCTAGAGTTGTTCCCAATTTGACCTCTGACGTGACCCTCTATTAGATGTTAGTTCCGAATTTGACCCCTGACGTGACCCTCTATGGGATGTTGTTAGATGTTAGTGTAGCGAGTATGCGAGCGGATCTAACATTTAATTTTAATTAGATTGAAAGTTTTACATAGTAATTCATTGAAAAAATAAAAATTTGCTGAAGAACAGAAAAGCCATAATAATACATATTTCTTGATATCATGACCCCACAGCATGGGATGGGGTCAAACGTCTGAATAGGAAATCTCAAGAACAGCAAAATCATGATTATTCATACCGTAGGTATTTACAATATGGAAGCATCCACAGGTAGAGTAGATTTAGGTTTTTTCAAATCATGGTCCATGGGGCTAGAATTGAGCCATACTTGACAATCAAAGTCTTACATAGGAATACATGTATATAGAAACAAGGTGTGTTTGTGAAACACTGATGCCCCCGTCTGGCAACATAGCGAAGATTAAACTTTTCTTCAATGCAAACTCACTGGAAATACAATTCTGAAATATGAACATAGGCCAAGGTTAAAGTTTTTTCATAAGTATGGGAATCTCCAAGGTCAAGGTCAAAAGATCAAGGTAATTGGTATCCAATGAAAGGTCTTGCCACAAAAAATACATATATGAAGTATAGAAGCCCTAGCCCTTACCATTCGAAAGTTATGGCAAAGGTTAAAGCTTTTTCAAAAGTACAAAAATCTCCAAGGTCAAGGTCAAAAGGTCAAGGTGCATGTAACTGGTATCCAATGAAAGGTCTTGCCATAAAGAATGGAAGTCCTAGTCCTAACCGTTTAGAAGTTATGGCCAAGGTTAAAGATTTTTAAAATTAGGTCAAACTCCAAGGTCAAGGTCAAAGGTCTTGCTATCAAATGAAAGGTCTTGTCACAAGGTTTAGATATATAAAGAATGAAAGCACTAGCCCAATTACCCTTTAAAAGTTATGTCAAGGTTTGCTTTTTGAAAGTAGGTTAAACCAAGTCAAAGGGTCAAAATTCTTGGTATCCAATGAAGGGTCTTCTCTCAAGGATTACTTATGTGAAGTATGAAAGCCCTATCCCTATCCCTTACCATTCAAAAGTTATGGCCAAGGTTAAAGTTTTTTCAAAGTATGAAAATCTGCAAGGTCAAGGTCAAAAGGTTGTTTGTTGGTATCCAATGAAAGATCTTTCCACAAGGAATACATATGTGAATTATTGGTGTCCTGGTTTCTACTGTTCAAAAGATATGGCCAAAGTAAAAGTTTGGAATTTTTGTGTAAAAGTGGGTTAAACTCCAAGGTCTAGGTCAAAAGGTCAAATTTGGTGGTTCCCTAAGAAAGGTCTTGTCACAAGGAATACACATGTTAAATATGAAAGTTATAGCTCAAAAAAATCAAAAGTTATGGGCAAGGTTAAAGTTTTTGCGGACAAACAGAGAGACAGACAGCTAAACAGACAGACGGACGGACACGACAAAAACTATATACCCCTGAAACTTTGTTTACAGGGGCATAAAAATCTCAAAAACATCAAATTGTATCATGATTGGTCTTATTGTTAGAATCACTTACTAAAATGATTTTAGTAGACAATTGTTCTACTTCAAGTGTGGTAACAAGATAACTCCTTTGAACTTGTGCAGAAAATTTTAAAAATTCCAACAGCTGGTGCACACCTCTCAAAGGTAAGTAAAGTATTGGAGGGGGGGCCCCTTTCAAACATTACTTGTGAAAATGTTCATTGATATGATGTCCTCCTTATTTTGTTGCAGTATTAAAAGTCAATTCAGGGCGAGGTGGAGATGAACAAAGGTTTTGAAATAGGTGCAAAAGTCATTATAGATTATATACTTGATAAATTAATAATTGTTTAAACAAGCGTACACAGCAGAGAAATAGTAAGAATATTTATTTTGCCTTCATATTGAAACTTAACAAGATTATATAAAAAATACAGAGTTGTACACTTAATTTAATATCTCTCAATTTGTAACAGTTTATAACATTCACATTTGTATTGTGTATTTATGATTTAAATAAAATTTTAAAATGTTACTAAAAAAATGTATGTGTTTAAGGGGAGATACTGCAGTAACTCTATTAGGAGTTAGCTAATCACTGACAACAAAATTTAGTCACTTAGGTATAAAGTGTAAGTTCATTAACAGTTTCCAACCATGTTAATTAATTTGACAAGACTATATAAATTTGAAATATCCATTTTAATTGTAATACATGTACTATGAAACATATATAGTACAAATGATTTAATATTGAAGTGTTTTTGAAAAAAAAGACTGCAAGTGATTCAGTTTTTATTGATTCCCATCTTTGTTGCAAAAAACAAACCATCCCCTTGTGTTGCTTGCTGAAAGAAAAAAATAAAGCAGAGATTATGATCACTTAATACTTTGTACAGAACATCAATCAGGGCTCAAAAGCAATATGTACATCAAAATTTAAAATTGAAATCTTGACCTTTAGATTTCCTCCATTTATTTTTGAAATATACATTTTTAATTGACAAAATAATATTGTATCTAAATTGTCCCTCTCCATCCACATCTATAAAATAAGATAATGTATAGGCATCTTTTCCAAATTGTTATCCATGAAAGTATTATTGAGGTCAGATTTCAAAATTACTTTGAAATAAAGCATTTTTCACTAACATATCCTGGATAACAATGAAATGATGAGTGCATTTGTACCTTGTCAAAACAAATTAGGCCACCACTATCTCACCTTATTAATTTGCTTGTGACGCTCCTTACTCACAATTTCCTCCAAAATCTCCCCATCACCTTTGACTAACCTAAATGTTTTTAAAGATAGAATTTTTTTTAGATTACAGGTAACAATAATGAATAACCAAAATAAAAGGGTGAAACACATGAAGAAAAAAAAAACATAAAGCACACTAGAAACTAGAGAGTATTACAAGAAATCCTACTCTTCTGCATATTATATCAAGTTTTATTTTCAGTATTTAATAGTTTTTTTTAACTGAATGCATTCACAAACTACAAAATAATTTTAATTAAAGGCCAAACTATTGTTATTTGTATTCTCACATTTTTTAAATTACAATTGTGATATACATTGTTACATCACAATATACAGTAAGAAGAGATACTGATAAATATGTTCCAAGTTGCTTTTATTGATTTTTCTGACATTTCATTCCACACATAAAATTTATTAAAATGCAGGCATTCTTTATTGGAATTCCATGTGTGATTTGTTTTCCTCAAAATGCAACACGTATTAAATTTGTAGATAGGAAATTAATAGCAATAAAAGTGCATGTCATTTAATAACCTGTGAAAACCAGGTGATAGTCTTGAAAGACATTCCTGTTATCAAATAAAAATAACAGGTTTTATTTTATTTCTCGGTCATGCCTACCTTAATCAGTGTTTTCCCTAAGAACCGGCTACCGGCCAAATTGACCACTTCAATTGACAAAAATGCTGCTTCGAAATAAAAATGTGTTGTAAGGTCCAGAAATTTTGTTCATAAACCTCAGCCCCTAGCCTGCTGCAAATGATCTCTAACCCTTTACTTTGAAATAAAGGGAAAACACTGACATATTACACATAAAACTTAGTTTTTTTTAAACAGGTCATTCCTATCTATTATTACCTATTGCGTCCAGTTTCTGGGTCGTATACCCGCCTCACGACACTTTGCTGTTTCTCCCATTCTTCCTTGGTCATGGGTTTCATCACACGAGGAGATGGACCACTACTACCTAAACATAGAAATTTTATCAAAGGAGGTCATGAGTGGATCTAAGTAATTGATGCAATTTGAAATTAAGTAACATCTGTAAAAATTCATCTGTGAGGATTTGATTTGAGTTGAGATATCCAAGATAAAATACTTAAAAATAAGGTCTTGGAACTTCTAAATCACTTGACACATTCACATTGTTCATGATATCTGTATTCGAGATACCAAAGTTCAACTGCACTTAATTTTATAACACAGAGCTGAATTCTGGTACAAGTACCCCCCAAAAATTGAAAGTTACCATATAAATGTTATTAAGGTAATTTAAAACTTTTCAGTTAAATACTGACTATTTTGGATATACATGTAAAAGTCTTCATACCTGAAGGTTTTGGGCCATGATTCTTGTCAATGATACTTGTATTTTTATTCTTCATTGATGGAAGGTCAGGTCTTTCATTGGATTTGCTTTTCTTTAATTTTTTCTTTGATTTCTTCTTTTTATGCTTTTTGTGGTCTTTCTTTTTCTTCTTTTTTCTAACAGGAGATGATGAAGATGATGATGAACTTCTAGATCTTCAATTTATAAAAAAAAAATTCTATCATATTAAAAACGGAAGTAATTTTTTTTAAAAGAGGTAAGTGTTACATGTACTTTTATCTTAATGATACATCATGGTAGAGGATGTTCATAACTCTGTCTTCAAACAGCATTAGTGTAGACTTTGCACACTTTGCCGATCCAAATGAATTTTTTTCCATAGTAACTCTGGATCCACAATCCTATGCCTGTGGCATCTCGACACAAACTATATGTGCGTACTTTCTGTAACAAGAACTTTCCACAAAAAATAAATGTCTAGATTTAATGGATATTGCAGATAAATACTAGTTTTAATATTTTTATTTAAATTAGCACTGTTCAGAGTCTGTTTTTGATAATTCAACTTAAATACAAAGTCATGTAACATCAGAGTCTAACCATATCAAATGTCACATGTAATTTAAGCCAGATTTTAATTAAAACTAACAGTCACACCGACAATACAGTCATTCTTCCTGCTTATATATACAGATACTTGGGGCGTAAAATAAAAATAAGTTTGTTTGCAGTTGCCTACCGACCCACTGAAAATGCACCCGACCCAAACTTTTTTTTAGCCATTTTGTAATTTTATTTTTTTTTTCAAATTTTCAGAATATTGAAAGTGTTTCATTTTCAAATTTTGACTTTTGTTTTATCAATCAGTGGTTTATAAAAATGGTTGAGCTTACTCGTGTGTAGTAGGTCTATGAAAACCTCTTTTATTTGTTATCTAACAAAAATCAAATTTTTTTTCAAAAAAAAGAAAAAAAAGAATGCCTACCTACCGACCCAGTCTAAGAATTATAGGTCGGCAACTGCAAACAAAGAATTTTTTAAGCTTGGCCTGGTTTATAAATGTGTAGGCTATGGTTATGTAAAAAAATTTACTTTTTTTTTTTTACATATATCAATAAGGTACATACTATTAGTTACACAGTCAGTAGGAACCTAATAAGGAGTCATACAGGGTGAGAAATGGAAATCCGTATTGGGTGAGGTGAAGCTGAGTCCCAATACAGATTTCCATTTCACACCCTGTATGACTCCGTATTAGGTTCCTAACTGACTGTGTTACGAATTTATCCCGCTGAACACCTTGACAGCGACGTAATACGGAAAATAGCAGGGTGTCATGTGATTAGCCTTTATCCAATCAGTAATCTACAAAATTGTCTGAAGCGGGATAAACCACGACACAAGTACAAATATACACAATTTGATGGTTGCCCGTGTGGCTCAGTGGTTAGAGCGTCTGCTCTAGAGTCCTGAAGTAAGGAATTAATCCTTACATTGCAGGTTCAAATCCCACTGATGCGAAGACCAGTCCTTCGGATGATTCCGTATAAACTAAGGTCCTGTGTCACAGTAGGTGCTGTCACAAAAAAGATCCCTCGCTGCTCAATGGCCCTGAGTGCCGAGTATAGGAAAAAATTTGTGGCTCTCAACCACAAGTGGTGGTGTCTCCATATGAGTGAAAAATTCTCAAGAGGGATGTTAAATAACATACAATCAATAAATCAGAAAAGCTGAATCCATACTTTTCAGATGCTCAGCTGTTTCCATAAATTCTGACGTCGTGTGACGACTCACAGTCTAGACTGTGTCTCGTGTGGTTGACGTTGGAAGAGGCGGATCAGCGATTCAACTGTAAGATGTGAATAGGACTCTAACAGTGACAACGTAAAACATGCTAGTTTTCGGTTCGTAACTTTGTCATCTGCGTGGAAAAATTAAGTGCATCTTGTATAATCAGTGTTTCTGCTAATTTTTAAAACCAAGGGTCATTATGACCCTTTGATATAAACTTTTGGGGGTCAAAATGATTTTTTGAGGGTCAAAATATATTCTGGTTTGATTTGGGTTCTAACATTAGCTCTGCCTTCTAAGTTCATATATTTGATGTTTAAAAATATAAAAAAAATGAAAGTAAAATATAATTGATACATGTATACTTCTGTTATTTTACCGGTACACAGTTACATTTTACCGATTACACCATTAGGGTTTCGTGAATACCTCAATCAAAAGATAACAATTGAAAGTTGTTGATTGCTTTACAAGACTGTTTATTAAAGATTTGAACTTTCCTCACCTTTTTATTACCATAATTAGCCTTTTTGACAAAGCCAAGCTGTTATAAATATGCCGATGTAAGACTGAACATGCTGAAGCGCCATTTTTACTTGCACTTCCGGTTTTGTTAAGAATTAGATAGGTCTTACAAAAGAATACCGGGGGTAGTTAATAGATTGTTGACGTGGAAATGCCGATTTCAATTACTGCAACTTTGAAATTGAACTAAAAGCAATGATTAATTCCTAGAAAGTTGTCAAGAATGTAAATTAAACATATAAAATATCTTTTTCTATGAAAACATCAATATTGAACTAGATTTTTAAAAACTTGTTTTCATATTTTCTTCTGCGTCATGATGACCCTCTAGGTGAAGTTTTTGGGGGTAAAAGGTCATTTTTATGCGTAAAATACGCAGAAATATGCGTTAACGGAAACACTGATAATGATTGATTGCCCCAAGATGGGGCTACCCATCCATCGAAAGAATTTTTTTTTATAGCGAGCGCAGCGAGGAGGCGCGAAGCGCCGCTCGCATAGCGAGCTCAATAGACTAACGTGTAGGAACGGAGGAAATTGGGGTTGAAATCTGCACATTGTTCCAAGAAATTTTTATCTCACTGCGTGAAAAGATTCCAAACTCCCAATAATCCTTTGCGGTGCATAGCAACATGGTAGCTTAAACATAGCAACAACTTACTTGAAAAAATTACAAACAATGATTAAATGCAATCTCCATGCCAAAAAACAATCGTTTGCCTCCAAACGCAACAGAACTTTCAATTTGATGTCATTCTTTCGTCACTTACACGGCTCGGGTATTTCCGATTTTGTCGGAAACTTCCGAGAATTTCGGAATCTAGATCCCGATGTCTGGGAAGTCAATTCTCTTTCTAATTATTCCGTTTTCTCCTCTTATTTTAATGAACTGAGGATAGACAGTGCAAGTAAAATCTGTGTATAGGTTTTTAAGTGTAAATTACTGCACTCGCCCCAACGGTCACACCGTAAAACATATTAAACAGTTGATTTATCAGAGTGTGCCCAAATTTTTGTAGCATAAAGAGGAGAAATGTCTTTTCTTTCCATTCTGACCTTTTTGCTGACCCCGCAAAGGGACAGATTAACTATTGCAAAGTGTGGATTATCTACTAGTGGAAAAGGTTATGTTTTGTATCAATTCTTCACCTCTACCCCCCCCCCCCCCACCCCCAAAAAAGATGTATGCATAAGCAAACCTTTTGTGCTTCCTTTTTCTTTTACTTTTCTTGTGTTTTCTAGACCGGTCATCACTGTCTGACGAAGAAGAATCGCTAGAACTATTGTCACTGTCACTTTCCTCCGACGAACTGCTACTTTCGTATCTTTTCTTTGATTTCTTCCGCTTTCTTTGATTTGATGTCATAGAAGATGCCGAAGTAGAACTTTCTTTCAAACGACAGGACTCCATATTAAATTCTTAAGGAGTTAACACGATTAAGAAATGTTGTTTTCATAAACTGATCCACTTCATGAGCGCTGACATATTGGTTAGTAAATATTAAGGAACAAAGACATCGTTGCTGAAAACGAAATATATTAGAAGTAAGCTTATAGAAAAATGAAACAATAAAATATTGTTTACCTTATCATTAGGCATATAAAATAATATAAAATGCTAATATTGTTTTGTTTAAAATAATTAATTAAAATAAACCTTTATTCGTTTTTCAAAAAATCCCCCTGACAGCGGAAGTGAACAAGAAGCGCGTCAAAATGGAGGACTAGGTTACCAAAACAGAAATTTACCGCGAAAATGACAGCAGTTAGCACAGAAAATGCATTCTCGGCATTTGAAAAACAACTTAGAACTTTATGCTTAAGAGAATTTCCTTGTGGAACGGGTTCATGGGTATTCTTTTCATGTTTTATATGCTAAAGAATATTTTTTTCATCAATACATAAATGTGTTCAGTGCATGGTCTCAAAGTAAAATCGCTACAGTACTAGCATAGTGCTAACGTCAACATGAACCAGAGATTATTATTCTTATACACGAGGCACAATTACATTTAGAGCCACAATATCTTGAAATCTTTCTCAATATAAATTAGAATATTTAAAATCTGTTTTTCTGTACTGTTGAAAAACTATCATTTTAACAAAAAAGCTTTGTATTTAAATATAGTATACATGAATTGAATTAGATAAAATACCCTGCTTTACTAATATCAGCACTAACATACCCAAACACTGAATGACAATTATTTTAGCAATGTATATTTAAGGAATCACTGTCTAGTTAGTATAGTATGCCAGGGCATCAACGATATTGGGAAACATGGGATAATTTGCATAACGGGCTTCACCTGCTATGCATAAATTATCCTATGTTTCCCAATTTCATCGATATTCCTGGCGTACTATACTAACTAGACAGTGATTCCTTATATTTCCATTTCATTGTGAAACAAAATTTTAGATTTAGATTTTAAAAATGTAGATATAGATTTAAATTACACAAGGACTCTCATGGCAATTTCAATAGTCCTTGCCCACTGACATCAAACACAAAGGCAGCGGCATGAGATTTACATGCATATTTGGCCTCCTTAGCGTCAGACACAGAGACCGGTGCACACGAGATTTGCATGCATATTAGGCCTCCTTAGCTCCAGACCTATCGACCTGTCTGATTTACATTCTGGTAGAATTATCAAGAAATCAACTCCGCTAACTTTCAAAGAATTATCACAGAGAAAAAAAAAAACAGAAATGGAAATTTTTACATATATCAACAATTTTTCTGTAGACATTGTAAAATTTCTAATAAAACATTGAGATACATGTATTTTTTTTTTTTAGAGAGAAACTAAAACAAAAAATCTTCAGCTTCTTAAATCAAAAGACAATGTGGATAGTCGGTTTTCTGTGACATTAAAAGGTATGATTCATTTCTTTAAAAAAAATCAAAGATTGAATTTTTATTTATAATTTTTGTTTGGTTAGAAAATTTGGAAAATTTTCACAGTTTTTAACTCAAATACATGTAGCTTTAATCTTGTTTAATATTAAAATACAAACAAACAACAACATTGTACTAATTATTAAGTTTTATTTCATATTTTATCTTATATCTAGATTTTGGTGCTAGTCATGAAAAGACAGAACAATTAGAAGAATATGTGACTTCAAAGTACTCCCCATGGCATTTGGATTATAGCTGGAGCAAAGAAGCTAGGAAACTTCGCGAGTTAGCTGTAAAATCCCCATGGCTTATTGATGACAATTTCATTCTCAGCTTTTTCAAAACACTTAGAATATGTGATAAAAATGTAAGTGAATAGAATTTATAATTTTTTTTCATTTTCATTATCATAAGTTTTAAATGGAAATAAAATATTATTTTCATATCAATTAAAATAAAATGCTATAATGTAAAAGGATTCTGTTGGGAAAAAATGTAATGCTTGATTAAAATTATTATATACATTATATAATTGCTTAAATGTTGCTCTTTTTATTTTCAAGGTAACAGAAGTAGATGGAAATCTACTGAAATTCAAGGATCTAGAGGAATTGACACTAAGTGCCAACAAAATCATTACAGTCAACTCAAAAAATCTACCACCTTCTCTTAAAGTATGTTAAATATCATACCAGGTATTATGAAACTGAAAAGTTATACACAACATAACATTATTTTGCTCTCTTATTAAGAGTAAAAATCAGTAATCTCTGACAAAAGTCAAGCTAATCAAAAGTATAAAGCTAAAGCAAATTTCAATAGAATGAAATAAAAAAAAAAACACACCTTTAAAAACAAGCACTGTAAAACAAATTTATATGAAGTCTTAACACTTTAATACAGCTGCCATATTTAAAGTTTTTTGAACTGCCCCTGTTCATAAAAAAAAGAAAGACAAAATCTTGATATCACCATTTGAAATCAAGAAAAGTTGAATTTCAAAATGCATGTTTGCCTCTTCTAACCTTTTTACTGACATTTCTTTTAGGTTTTAGAATTGTGTGCCAATCAAATTAGTGATATATCTGCATTATGTGTCCGCCCTCCTCCATTGATTCATTTAGGATTAGGATCCAACAAAATCTCTTTCATAGGGGATTACCTCACTGGAGATTACTGGTATGAAGATATGTGTAGTTATATTTTTTGTATAAACTGCATGTTTATTGCATTTTTTTTAATTTGGAAAGAAAATTTGTTTGTTGTTTTATTTTAAATTATGGAAATCAAAATAAATTACAGTCAAACTTTATCTTGAACTCAGTGGGACCGAGAAAAAAACTTTAAGATATCCTAGGATTGGAGACACCGTCCGAGGGTAAAATACTTAAAGAATAATTGGTCGGGCCTTCAAAATCACTTTGACATTTCCATGGTATTCAACATATCAGTGTTCCAGATAACAAAGTTTGACTGCATTTGCAAATTTGATAATATGATGTTTGCTTCAGAAAAATGAATAATTATTGCATGAATAATTTTTTTTCCAGGCCCAACCTACTATCTTTAGATTTAAGCCATAATAATTTAAGTGATCTCCTGGATGTAATTAGAAAACTTGGATCCCTGCCTAAGTTACGGAACCTTATTCTCCAAGGAAACCCCTTATCTGTGTGTATAAAGTTATATCAATTAGGCCATAATAAAAATATTCCTAGATTCTCATCCCCGCCCGCCCCGATTTTATACCCCCGCCTCGATTTTTTTTATTTCTTGTATTTCTTCGTCTTAATTCTGATTGGGATGGGTATTCATCTACCATTCTACTTTCGTTTTAAATCCCGCGAAAGTCGACATGATTTTGACAGCTGAAAAGATGGTAATTGCTGTAATACATGCTTATATATTTTAAACAAGGGTCATATGTTGAAAAAGATTGATGTTGATGCGAAGTAAGAGATAATTAAACCTTTACTATGACTTTTATTCGGGTATTGTAGATAAAATTACACCGATTGACCAGGTTAATAAAAAAAATGCAAAACTGAAAAAATAAAAAAATATAAAATAAAAGCCGCCCGCCCGCCTCGATTTAAAAAAAAAATCGGATGAGAATCTAACAATTTATTTATTATGGCCTTAACATTTTTGGGATAATCTGTTTAATGAAGATAGTTTTGATAAATTCAAGCATGAGGACCTTGATTCACAGATATTCATTTTTTTAATTTACATTTTTTTTTTGATAAAAAAAGTGATATTAACCAGGCAAACTGCCTGCATGTCAAAAAATGACACTAAATTTTTAGTAGAAAATTATGAATCAAGCTTTTTATTTGCAAAGAGGAATTTTTTGACTTTACAATTGATACAGTTGATTCCTGGGTATCGTGGCTATACAATAGACAGTTTACGGAAACTCAGTATTCTTGATGACATCATGATATCTGCTGACGAAAAACATCATTACAAAGGCCTCGCCAGAAGGAGAGGTAAACAAGTCAGACGTGTTCAAAACTTTTTTTACAATTTACATAAGATTCAATTTCTCTGTAAGATTCCTTTGAAAGAATTTTCTATGTATTCATCCTGATGCACAAAAGAACTTTGAGATTAATATAATACTTGCAGTCATGCAGCACTGCTTTTAGCTATAAATGAGGAAATAAACATGTACTGTAAAGTCACATATTTTCATGGAGTCAAATTTTCATGGTTCGAGGAAAAAGTCTTGGTTCATGGGGATTTGATTTTGTGGATGAAGAGTTGTTGAGTAGTTATGTATGTAACATTTTACATTTGGTGGAGGACTTGAATTTGACGGTCTCGTCATACAGCGAAAACAACGAAAATTAACCCCAACGAAAATTTGTGATTTCACACTATTATAACCATGTATGTTGACTTTAATGCAGACCTTTATTATTGGATTCTTTTAAACAATTGTAGAATACATCTTAGATGAAGCTAAAGTGTCATTAGAAGTCACATACATCAAGGGTGTGCCAATGCCAGAGGAATTGAAGGTTAAGATTTTGTCTGATTTAAAGCTTTTTGGTTTCTTATGAATTCTTTCATAAAATTTCAGTCAGTTTAATATTTTTTGACTGTTTTTGCAGTTTACAAATTCGATTTATTATTACCGTAGAAAACATATTTCTAACCATGCCTATGCAAATGTAGAGACAATTGTTTTATTCTGCTTTTACCTAATGTGAATTGACAATGTTTCATCTTTACAAACACCTTGCAAATAGGCACGTGTAAATCAGAAATAATAAAGTTAAGTTGCTTCCCCCATGTAGCTGAATTTTTGCCATTGACATATCTAAATCTTGATTTCAAACAAAAACTTGATATATAATTTCTTTCAACCATACAGAATCCTGAAGATCAACCAGAATTCCCCAAAATAGAGAGGAAGTATTTTGTCCAATTCATGTTTCCTCAAGACGTGTCCCAGAAAGCAGAAATTTTCCAAATCACAGATAACGACTTAGCTGGATTGTCTCCCATGCCAATGTCCGAGAGGTCACAGTTCACACCCCAACCAGTAAGTGCAGAAATGTCAGTAATCAGTCTATCATAATCAGCAATTGGAGGTTTTATAATCCTAGTAACCTAAATTAATTTTATGTGAAATATCAAAATTTGACTGGAGATGTTTATGCATATAATATATTAACAAATGCCAGAATTTCTGCCATTTTTTAGCTCACCTCAATGAAGTTGGGGGGAGCTTATGTGATACCCTCGGCGTCGGCGTCCCAGGTTAAGGTTAAGTTTTTTGGAGCAGTTTTCTTTTTAATTACTTCTGTGTCCTATACTGATTAGACATGCATGGAAGATGGTTTTAGTGTGTTTTATTGTACCAGACAAAGTTTCAGATGCTGCAATTTCAGCAAAGGAATTACCAGGTTAATGTTTTTGGAGCAGGTTAACATTTTTGGTGCAGTTTTTGGTGTGGGTTTCATTTCCAAGTAACTATAAGCCCTATGTTGACCAAACTTGCATGGATGATACATCTAAGGATGCATACTACCAGGCTTGCTTCGGATGCTGAATCTGACCTACATTATGCGGTTGAGTGAACAGGTTAATGTTTTTGGTGTAGGTTTCATTTCCAAGTAACTATAAGCCCTATGTTGACCAAACTTGCATGGATGATACATCTAAGGATGCATACTACCGGGCTTGCTTCGGATGCTGAATCTGACCTACATTTTCCGGTTGAGTGAACAGGTTAAAATTTTGGTGCAGGTTTCATTTCCAAGTAACTATAAGCCCTATGTTGACCAAACTTGCATGGATGATACATCTAAGGATGCATACTACCGGGCTTGCTTCGGATGCTGAATCTGACCTACATTTTCCAGTTGAGTGAACAGGTTAAAGTTTTTGGTGCAGGTTTCATTTCAAAGTAACTATAAGCCCTATGTTGACCAAACTTGCATGGATGATACATCTAAGGATGCATACTACCGGGCTTGCTTCGGATGCTGAATCTGACCTACATTTTCCAGTTGAGCGAACAGGTTAATGTTGTTGGTGCAGGTTTCATTTCAAAGTAACTTTAAGCCCTATGTTGACCAAACTTGCATGGATGATACATCTAAGGATGCACACTACCAGGCTTGCTTCGGATGCTGAATCTGACCTACATTTTCCGGTTGAGTGATTAGTTAAAAGTTTTTGGTGCAGGTTTCATTTCCAAGGAACTATGAGTTCTTTAATGACCAATCTTGCATAGATGATACATCTAAGGATGCATACTTCCAGGCTTGCTTCGGATGCTGAATCTGACCTACTTTTTGTGGATGAGTGAAAATGTTAGTTTTGATGCATGTTTCATTTCCAATAAACTATGAGCCCTATAATGAGCAAACTTGCATGGATGATACATCTAAGGATGCACACTAATGGACTTGCTTCGGATGCTGAATTGGACATACATTTTTCAGATAATAGACAAGGTAAAAGTTATGGTTGCAGGTCTATTACCAAAAACTATAAGGCTTATATAACATTGTGTAAACCAAACTTGCACAAATGCTGCATCAAGAGATGAAAACTCTCAAATTTGCTTCAGATGCTGGATTTTCATTACATTTTCATGAAGAAGAAGTAGTTTAAATTTTTTATGTAGGTCTATTTCAAAGTATCAGATCAAAATTGCTTTTAAAAATATTTTCTTTTTTGGAATGTATACTTTTTGTTGGTTAATTGTGTGACTTTGCCTTACTTAAAGACAACATTCGTTGAGGTGAGCTCTGTAATCTCTGATTACCTATGTTTTTACCACCAAATTGGACTTTTGTCATTATGGTTATTGCAGTTTGATACATACATGCAGAAAGACTTGAGAGCATGTGATTTTTTAAAACCCATTCATGTACATGGGCAAGGATCAGCTATTTGTAAATAATAACGGCGGTCATTTTTGAAATTGAAATAAACAAGAATATAATTTTTTTATGATTCATAAAGTTGTATTTATAATTTTGTAATATGAAAGAGAAACAATAAACAATTAAATCTTTTTATTTCAAGAAATAAAATTATTAGTACCGAATTTGTATAAAATTGTCCAACTTTTGTGCATGCTTATAAGAGATTTTCCAACCTATGTGTCAAAAATGCAATTTTTAAAAATACCTTTAATTAACACATTTTTATATACAACTATTCTAAAAGATGGATGTTTACCTTACAATTCTAGATAAAAATAATTACTATTTGCTTATCATTATCCCGAGAAAAATAGCTTTGAAATTGAATAACGGACGTTACGAGTGTCGGTCAACATGATGGGTTAACTTTAAACATTGAAATTAATGTAATTGTATTAAAAATACACGAATATTTTATATTTAGCTTTAACTTTAAAGCATACTCAACGGATTCTTTTCAATAACATTTGTGTAAAAGGATTAAAATAATAAATTTTCGCACATTTATCAAAGGTGCACAGGTGTCGGTCAAATTCGTAACGTCCGAAATTTGGGTCGTAAAATGGCTTTTACAATGCGGAATATAGAATCAGTTCGTTTTTTTCTATTAGTTTTACCACACATTTGCAGTAAACGTCATGAAAAGCGACCGTGATACGTAAAATGGAGGCAAAGAGGGCGAGTTTGTATTGTCGGTCAATAACTTCTTACTAGATAACAGACGTCACGCTAGTTACTGAAAAAGATTCATATAAAATTTAATGATAAAATGGACAAGCCATGTTCTCCAATGTATTAAAATCTATAATAGTTATTGTTTGACACAAACGTTTAAGTATTTTTCTAGTACTATTACGATCGTAGAGGTCATTTGGTGTTCGGCAGTTAAATTTTGACTGACATAACAATGTCAAACCATAACTGCTGAAGCACAGTGATTCGATTATGTTACGTAGAAATTTTATGGACATATTTTTTGCAATAAGATAGAAAGAAAATATAATATTTACCATTACTTATCTGTTAAAGTCGCATTTTTTCCTGTCTTCGTACATTATTAACATAACAATATTTGGCTGTTACATGTTGACAAGAAATTGAAAAACGGATATGACATGTTGACACCTTTTCTGGTCAAATAATAACTTCTTTACGCAGTATGATAATATTATCATGAAATATGGAGTATTTGTTTATATTTTAAGGTAATTAGCAGAGGTGTAACTCATTTATTTTCTTTTCAGATGCTATGCTACCAGCTCCTTAGGATTTTCTTGGCTGATTGCCTGTTATTATTTGACCATTGTCAAAATTTAAATCTGTGCTGATACAAGATTTTTTTCTTATTATTTTGTTAAAGATAAAATTTTATTAGTAAACTTCAGTTGTATATTAATGAAGAACAAATAATAGAATTACTAAATAAAAATTACAAAGCTGTAGAGAGTTAAAATATCCCTTCCACGAAAAACTGTGAGGGATGTTATAATGTAACATCCGTCACAGCGCTTAAAATTCATGGAAATACTTTCAGTAGTTTTAATTAGTATTAGAAGAATGTTTATAAATGGAGTTGTATTTGACAAATTAACTTCATTGCATGTATTAAAAGACGTGTGTATTCTTAACAAAACTTACGAAATGCGTTAAAAAGCGTCGTCAATGTAACCTCCGTAACTACCTTACTTTAGTTTGTCAATTTGTCAAATATAACATCCGTTTATTATATAGGATAAAAAAAATTTCAAGAAAGAACTAATGTATCCTGGTCTGCTTTTTAATGAAAAACTAGTGTTATTTCCACATTTAGTGAAGAAAAAACTCACGGTAAACATGATTTCTGTGCAGAAAAACGAATGATGAAAATGCTATAGTAGGAAAAATTGATGTCACCTCCGTCACGATTAATTGTGCCTTATTAATTTTACAGATTGGTCATAAAAATTTGTCTACTTCGTCCAAAGTAAAAGTGTGGTCAGGTCCATGCATATGATGCTCTTTTTTTTTTGGTTCTCTGTAACGCGAAATAACTTAAAAATTCACATTATATGTGTCAACATAACGCCTATCACTTTTTGATCACCTATATTTGGATGCGATTTTCTTAAAAAATAAAAATGCAACTATCTTTTCTTATTAAATTAATGAAAGAAGGTATAGATATAAATGTATTTAATTAGAAAAAATGTAAAAATATTGACACATTTTTTTTCACTGTGACGGCCGTTATTATTTACAAATAGCTGATCCTTGCCCACATGTAAAATCATGTCTGTGTAAATGCATTTGATATGTTAAACAGAAGAAAACAGTCCATTTTAAGGTAGGTTCCTTTACCTGGTGAAGAGATATTTCTTGTCCATCATGTTGCATTGGTTTTGAATACTGTTAAAAGTGCTAAGGTTATCGCACATGGTTTTTACAATGTTTTATCATGGTTTAGGCTTTTTTGTTTTGTTTTTTTTTTTTAAATTTCCCATATTTCATTTGATTAGTCTGGTATTTTTTTTTCTTTATCTATTGTATTTGAATGCACGTATTTTGGGACTTTTGGTAAGAAATCTATTGACAGTTTCAGATACAAAAGACATCCAACTGCAATCATGAAAGCTGTTCTTCTTGAATGTCTTTTTTTTATTCACCTGAGAAAGGGGATTTCCTCCTGTGTTGCAATTTAAAATATTGATTAATAAAATGAATTCCAAAATTGTAACTGTGATTATCATGATAAAAAATTGTCTTAGAATATTGATACATGATAATGTACATAATTCATTTTCTCCATAAGCTTGATACATATAATTCCATTAAAATTGTAGACTAGTCCAATACCTGAGGAGCAGGAAATACGCTCATACTCACAACAGAGTCAGAACACGGAGGCCGTCAAAAACGTCAACTTCACTGCTCAACCAGAGGTGGTATCAGCAAGGGAACCAACAGGTATATTAATTATTGTATACAGGAAAATTTTCCCCCTGTTTTATTTTTGCCCCTTTCGCCCTTGTCACAAGTTGGCAAATTTAAAAAGGGGTGAATTCAAAGAACATACTATAAATTCTTAAACAGAACTGGGACTTGGTGAATTTAAAACAGGGCAAATTTGTAAGCAAATGTAAAAGGGCAAAAATAACACAGGGCGAAAAGACCCTGTATACAGTACATATGTTATATTCTGTTCATGAGAAACAAACTGTTCATATGATGAATTAATTTAAAAAAAAACAATACTGTCGAAAACTCTTTACTTTCTATGATTAGAAATGCTATAATTTCAACCTTTTAGTACAACACTTAACAATGAGCAATACTTTAAAATGTTATTTGAAGATAAAGCTGCTGAGCAAAATATAAATTGCATGGAGGTTTAGGTAATTAACATGATTAACAGAGTCAAATTTAAGTGCATGTATTAACCTTACTGACCATCAGTTGCCCAAATTTTAATGATTAAAGATATAAATTTGGACATTTTGTGCAAATAATATGGAAAGGACTTGACCTTCATAATCACATTCTTTTTTTTTTTACAAAACTATTAAGTATTTTACACTTGATATCTCGAGTCCTCAGATATTTGGAAGCATTCTCTTTAAATTCTATCCATTCCTTATTTCCCTGATTTTATAGTCCCAAATGCTAATTTCTTCAGTATTTTACACTTGATTGTCTCGAATCCTCAGATATTTGGAAACTTTATCTCACTCCAATCAAGTCTGAGATAATAATGTTTGTCTGTACTTTTTCTATCCATTCTTTATTTCCCTGACAGCTGAACATGAGCGGCCCCCGGATGAGATCCCCTTCTCTGTGACCCCCAAACAAAGCGAGGCTGTGGACCAGGAGGAGGAGGAGGAGGAAGACAAAACACAGATCCAGCTGGAGCCCATTAAATCTGAGGGTGGGCTCTGGGCCGAGGAGATCGAGCTTAACTGGTCACAAGTTGCTGTCAGGGATGAACTTCTGACCCTGCGAAACTTTCTCAAACAAGGAATGGATTTTTCAGTGGTTGAGGAATTGGTAATTTTTAAAATTATTATTAATTAAATTTATAATTTAAACGTTTTTTTGTGGGATGCTTCAAATAAATTTTTAAGAATCTGTTAAAAAATTGTTCACAGTATAATTATACTTTATTTAATGTACAAAAAATTTGCTTAACATTTCAGGAAGGGAATTGAAAGTGCTAGAAATTGATTTTCATTGACTTAATTTGTAAAAATATTTGTAGATATCAACATGATCCTTTATTTTTTCAAGTCTTTTTTTTTTCAATATTTTGCTTTATAAATTCAATTAGTTCCAATTCACCAGTATCATTAATTATGTATTTTTAGATTATTAGATTTTTATTTTCCTATTAGCAGTTCAAATACTTATCTTTTTATGCTATCATTCATATAAAAGTTCTCTCTACTTAGAAATTCCCAGTTAGAACTGTCAGCACCTATGCAATGTTGCTTAGCTTTTTGTACATACATTACTGTACTTGTAATATCTGGCTAATTTTAGACCAATATGGTGCCCCTAACTCCTGAACACTCTGAGAATGGGTCTGTGCATCAACCTACAAGTGACAAGAAGGTTGTTAGTTATAGCCAACTATTATCTGGTGAACCATGAGTTGGTTTGGTTGTTTGTGGTGACTTTGTAGTAATATAGTAGAATTAAGAATGAAACTGCCATTTACTGAATGTTCACTGAAAGGTGTGGAAAGGTGGGTGAATGGCAGTGGTATGCCTTTCAGTCACTTTTAGTAAACTTTTCAGTAACTTTTCAGTGAACTGAATGGCATATTAGTTTCATCTTTTGAAACATTTAGTACTCAACAGTATAATATTACACTGAACTTCTGAAAATATGGACTTCAACTGAAATAACAACATTAAATTTTGTGATTTTTTTAATATTGAGGAAAAGAGCAGAAGATATCAATTTTCTTCTAAAATGACAGTTACACTGTCCCTTTGAAAAAATTACCTTAGTTTTCTCTTAACAGTCCTTATTTTCAGAGGTTAATGCGTTGCGCTTCAAATTAGCTTAATCTAAGGACATATGCCATAGAGGAGTTTTTGATGTGATATAGTCAAGCCTTGTTTAATCTGGAAGCTTGTGTTTCCAAGCAAAGTGTCCAGATTAATTAATTGTTTGGGTTACTGAACCATAACTCGTAGATGTTCATGTAATTTCTGTTCCCCACAATTTTCATTTTGAAGATGAAGCTTTCAGGTTAGAGAGACTTGACTGTATTCCAGTATAAGCAAAATACAAGGTGTTATTATTAACAGCAATTATTTTAAGCTATACATGAACAGTTTTGGATTTGTGTTTGAAAGGGGAGCTAGGGGGTATTCTGATTTGTAACAATAATAATTAAAAAGAACATCAAATGACAAAACTTAAGAAACACAATTTCAAACCAATTGCAAACCATAATTGCTTTGCTTATTGACATTTATATGCAGTCATCCAGTGCTACATTTGTTTTGCATTATAATTTTAAATTTCTATGCTTATACTATTGCTTTTGCTATATGCAATACACCATCTGCCATACCTGTGCTATTTAGTCTGCTGCTATTTGTGCTGTGCTGTTTTGGCTGTGTGTTTGTGCTGTGTTTACCATAGGTGTGTGTGTTACAGGTCCTTTGCTATCAAAATGATGACCCGTCTGACCCAGGCACACCAACAGCCAAAAGCAAGGAAAAGAAAGACGCCAAAGACACCAAAAAATCAGATAAGAAGGAAGAGAAAGGAAAAGTATGATGCTCACATGTCTTTTGCTATTTTGCCATGTTGCTTAGTTGTGTTTGAGTGGTTATTTGTATGACTTGATTTATGTAACTATGTGACCCATGGCTTTTGGATGTAAAAAATCTTTTGGTTAGCATTAAAGTCAATGTTCAGTTGATTATTCAAAAGAAAAGTATTTTGTTCCCTGGTTCTCTAGTTTCAATTTATAATTCGTTAAAATTGTCTAATGCAGGGTAAAAGGAATTGAACTTAATTTATATATTTACAGAATATCAACATTTACTGCACTTGCAATGATTATTTTCCAAATACATGTTCACTGTAGCAAGTATTAATATTTTGAATCTCAGACATGGTCATGCGTACAAAGTATTTTTATTATCAAAGGGAGGGAAAGAGGAAAAGAAAGATGATAAGAAAGGAGGGAAAAAAGGGAAGAAAGAGCCAGAGATGGAGTTGAAACGAATGCCTGCCACCTACACCACGCTCGCCACGTGGCACATTCCACTGGTGGATTTCCTGGAGGGAGAGTATGAATTCCGGTCCGTCTTCACTCAGGGTGGAGTGGAGGTGGCTTCTACCGTGAAGAGTATGGAAATTAACAAAGTATGTATCAATATGACCCCTTGGGTCTTTGTATGTACATGTGGATAGATTTAAAGACATTTCATTGAAAAGTGGTGATTTCATAAAAAGATGAAGGAAAATTTGAAATTTTCCATGAGTTAAGTAAGAATTTAGCAAAATACATGTAGCAATGCTGTCTTTTTTCACTAATGTATGATATTTAATAGTAGAAAGTTCTATTCCTAAAGATACTATTCAGCTTTATTTTTGCTGCCATAATACATCACATCTTTATAGATGAGTCGTCGAAAATTTATTATTATAAATTTGAAATTGAATGAAAATGGATTTAGATAACAAAAGTGCAGTGTATAGACATAACTATTTCAAAATTATGTCTATTTATAAACAATCTAAATAAGGCCTAAATTCCATTTTATGTTTTTCTTGTAGAAAGATAAGGACAAGAAAAAACCTGGATCCTCCAAACCAAAGAAAGACGATAAAGGAGGAAAAGGTCTGTATATTTAATAAAAGAGTCTGCCATTTTTTTTCTTGCATGTGCATTTTTTTCTTGAGTTATTGGACTTTGACATTATTTATTCATGTTGTCATTTCAATTGCAGGCACCCCAGGTAATTCATTGTACTTTGTATATATATGTACCAATTACTCCCTAATTTTTAATCATTTCATATGCTAAAAAAGAAAACTATCATGTATAATATTGATAACCCATATATTATTTTTATAATACCTGTTAATGGGATGAAATCCCCTGCAATTTTTTTACTCCCTAAAACCTAACACTTTAATCTTGCATACAGTGGGTAGCAGTCAATTTCAGTCATCTTTTATTCAAGCATTGTCTGAAATCTGAGAAATAAGTTATTTAGCTTGATTAATTTGGGCAAGAGGAGTTTTTTTTTGTCCATAAGTAAAAAAAAAAGAGTGTGATTGCTTAATTGGGTTATTGGGACCTGTTAAACAAACTATCATACTTTAAAATTTAATATTCAGTTTTTTAATGCATACTATTTCACAATAAATTTTCCTCCTTACTTTAAGTCAGATACTTAATACTTGTTGTTATGAATGTTATCACCGAATAAATGCACAATAATATACATTTATTGACGGAGTTTGAGGGCAACATGGGTTTTGTCGGACTCAAGAACCAAACTTTCTGCCTGAGGCCATTAGGCCAAAGGCAGACAGTTTGGTTCAAGGTCTGACAAAGTGCAATTTTCCCAAGAACTCAGTCAATAAATGTTTTGTTATACCTTTCATTTAATTTCAAATTTTTTGATACACATGTATTTTGTACTGTTTTCTATGATATAATATCATGTCTGTCACTGTTGAACACCAGCAAATGAAAATGAAATTAAGCTCCGCCCATTCGGTGACATAAACGGTCCAACATCTCACTCAGCGGTTCAACATAGATTTCTTTATGCCCGCTCATGATGCAGCCAAACATTAGAAATGTTCAACTTATTTTCGTATAGATTTGTATAAGAACAATTTTTTTTAAAGGTATAACAATTAATTGTCTGTAATACACCAGTGATTAATATAAATGTTGTAAATTCCATGTACCCTATGTGTATTGCCTATTGTCTAGATAGGCTCCCTATAATAATCACATTTCCTTCTGTCAACCCTTTTATTACATATGATGCAATTTAAGTATATTTCAACAGAAGTAATGAGTTCATAATTGTCCAGGACTCACTTATTTAAGAAAACAATTCACTTATAGATTTTTACCCTTCAAAATCTTGAGATGATTGAAATTTTCTAATAGTATAAATGTGGAAATTTTATGTTGTTAATTGTTTGAACCATTGGCATAGTTAATATGCTTACTGATGATCATTTTCACAACATTTGAGTCCTGTGTCTATTTGTGACCTTTGAAAAATGAAAACACAGAGTCAAAAGATATGAATATTGAATGACCTTGTTAGTTTTCTAGATTCCTCCCCCCGTTCATTAAATTTCTTGTCAGTTTTCTAGATCCTGGCCTTCAGTTAATTTCAATGCATATCCGTCTATTGTGTACTGAAAAGTACATTCATTCAAATGAATAAGAATGCTTTCTAGAGCTTAATTAATATACATATATGTGAAGGGTATCAGCACTATTGTATACTTAGTATTTCATAAAATAATTCAATAAATATTACAGGAGCTTGTGTAATCATGCAAGATTTAAATATAGAAAGCAAAGAAAGAATGTGGGGTAATATGAGATTTATTGGGATAACAATTCATTTCTGTATGCCTTCCACTATCCTAAGACAATAAAACATTGTACTTAATGCTAGAAGTGTTTTTATATATCATATAGAGTAATATATTGGTGATGATGATCAAGCATATGCAGCAAAAAATTGGAGGGATTGCATTGATGAAGTTGTAAGTGAACATTTTTCAGTGGTAATGATATGCAAAATGTAGTCTCCAACCATAGAAAATACATCAACAATTGAACATCAGTATCTCCACCATCCATAGAAGTCATGTATCGATATATCTCAAAGACCGTGGGAATATGTAAATTGTTTTAGAGGATCAACTTTCTTTTTTACAATTTTTTAACCTCATCATCTCTGAATACCTCATGTATCTTGAAGTTTTCTATTTGGCCCCATCAAGTGTGAGTTAATGAGGCTTTACTGTAATTCAGATGTCACATGCAAATCTATGATGTGAGTTGCATGGGCTCAGACAGGTTCACAATCATGTTTGGAGAAAAAATTTTCTTTCATGCGCTGCTTTGCAAAATGACCAGGGTTTATAAAACTATTTTCTATACCGCATCACATTTTTCTTTCAGATTCTAGACGATCCAGTGTAATTGGAAAGAAAGGCATATATATTTACTTCTCATTCTGTTTGATATAGAATCACAGTTTAACCTCACCAGAGTGATGTGATTTTCTCCCCTTCTATTTCACACAGAATATTAATGACAATTTATCAATTTTTTATATCTTAGACTGTTGCAAGTTAGAATTTTTACTTGAGATGAAAATACACTGCAGGTCTAATATTACTTTGAAAGAGTTTATTTTCATTTACTTTCAAATGAAGTACACGTAATAATCTTTATTGTACTACAGAGAAGTTAAAAAACTAAGTATATTCACAGTGAAAATTAAACAATTGCCTCTCAGAAATTGAGTCCGACACTCAAAAAACTTAAACAAACAATGCCTGTACAGCACTATATTAAAAGCTATTTTGTCTATTCTAATTTCAAATTTGCAAAACTCTCCTTGTTATACGTTACAAACTTGTATATTAATTTTTTTTCTACAATTTCTAGAGATTGTGTGTGTTTTAATTCCTTTATAATTCTATAGAAAATTATCCATTTAAGATATTTTTGGTATTGCACATCATTTTCAGTTATATGCAAATGATATAGTGTACATATTATGTTTTACACGCTACATTAACAAAGAAATCAGTTGTTATTATGGATTGACTATAGCTTAATTTCATGCATTAATTGGTTGTACTGGGAATGCTTCCCTACCCTGTTAGAAATTAGATTAGGCTAGTCTATAACAAAAGATACACATTTTATAGTGTGATTTTAAAATTGAGGAAACTAAATCAAACATTTATGACTTTACTGTAAAATATTGTTGATGAGAGTTTTCTAATATACCAGTACAGTAATGAATTGTTTGTTAATACTCGACAATAAGTCGAAAATTCTAATGGGAAATGCAAATGTTTTTTTCACTGCAGGCAGCGCAAGATCTCGATCAAGGGAAAAAACTCCCAGTTCAGTGAGCTCACGTATGACAAGTACCAGAATTAGACTTTAGATTACATTAGTTTTAGCCTGCTGATTAGTCAGTGTTAGGCTCCACTGTGACATTAGAATTCATTAATTGGTTAGTTTATTGTTCATTTCAGCTGTTTTCAGAGGTGCATTTTGGGAAATTTTGACCCATGATTCCTATTTTCATCCTCTTCAAGCCACATAAAGTTTGTCTTTTCGATTTTAAC